GCCACTAGCTGCCACTCTATCCTTGGTGCTACAAATGGCAAATCTTTTTTGATCACTGAGTTGTATTCCAGTGTGTGTGTGTGTATCCCATATCTTTTTTTTTTTTAAAGATTTATTTATACATACAAGAGCTGGGGTGCAGGCCAGAGATGCGGGGGGAAGGGTTGTGTGAGAGGATTCACCAGAGACAGTGTGGGGAACAGAACAGGCAGATCGACCAAAATACACTGCTGAGGGGAGCAGCGGACAAGGCGGGAGAGGGCTGCTTTACCATGTGGGTTGCTCCCTGGCCGGCCAGGGATCGAACTCGTGCTGCAGAGGGTGCGGATTGCTTCATAGTGCGGTGCTTAACCCCTTGCTCCACCAGGGAGGCCCCCACATCTTCTTGATGCATTCATTTGTCCTGGGACATTTAGGTTGCTTCCATATCTTAGCTATTGTGAATAGTGCTGCAACAAACGTAGGGGTGCAGGTTTCCTTTCAAATTAGTGTTTTGCGTAGATTCCTAGAAGTGAAATCACTGGATCCTATGATTTGTGGAAACTTCCAGACATAATGAAAAGTGAGGAAACTCACCTTAGGGGCCTCCACGGGTCCAGGGCGGCGCGTGACACCTCGTGGGCGTCAGGGTTTCCTGCAGAACCGAGAGTCCTGCACTGGCCGTGATAAATCGCACCTACCTCCCATCTCAGGTAGTTGGATTGAGTCCCTTTTCCTTTACAGGGCTGGCTCAGAGCCACCGTCAGCGTTGCTTTTCCCCAGAGAAGAGTGAGGTGTAAGGTCATCTGTGCTCTCTGTCCCCCAGGAAGCGTCACCTTTTTTTCTGAGATACAAGAAAATAGCTTTTCCCCAAGGAAAACTGAGACAGGAGAACGAAAATTGTTTGCAACAGGCAGGAACTATTTGCGATGTGCTCTCCCTCCTCGTCTGCACGCATGCATAAACTCTTATGGGTGGAGGTGACAATATCTTTTATTCAAACAAATGCTCTCTGGGGCCTGCTTTGTGCCAGGCTAGACTGCGTTCAACCTGGAACAACAGATGACAAAGTCAGCTGGCTTCAAATGAGGCCAGAACTTCATGGTGGGATGAGAAAAACTGGGTTTGTAACCCAGATAGAAGCTTCTATTAGTCCCCGTTAATGTTTGAGCTGAAACGGTGGGAGAGCAGCAGAAGGGTTTGAGCTGAAAGGCAGGGAGAGCTGATTCCAAAGCTCACAACAGTGCATGTGAGCTTTGGAATCAGACAGCCCTGGGTTCAGAGTCCAGCGCTTTCACCAACTAGCTGTGTGATCCTAGGGAAGTGATTCAACCTCTCTGAACTTCTCCTTGACCTCACAAGTGAAGGCTCTTCATTCAACATGTTTTGATCAGCTCCTATTATGAGCTGATCAGTGATTTCTATTATTTTAATTACTCCTTAGAACCGATGACCACAAATAATTGATTTCCATCTGGTCATGCCCTTGGAGTTGCTCGCCACTCTGATCTGGCCTTGACCGTGTGACTGGTCTTGGTCAGCGGACACCAGCAAACATGAGGCCAGTGTGTGGGCTTGTGCTCTGTTGCTGTACTAGTCCCCGTCACCATGGACAAGCAGACGACACATGAAGAGCACCTGTAGTCCTGTCTCACCCCATTCCGCCGTCACAGCTGCCACCACCAGACATGCGTGCGTGAGGACATCCTATTAGTCCCTATTAGCTGACCAGGAGCTGACCACAAAGGCAAGAGCAAACCCATAGCCAGGCCAGCTCCCAAATGGTTATATTGTTTGAAGCCACCAACATTTTGAGGAGCAGCACGTAACTGCGATAGATCCCTCTACTCTCTCTTTATAGACAAAGAAATTGAGGCCCAGAGAAGCTTACCCTGGTCACAGAGGCAAAGCTGTCTCTTTCCCCTACTCTGTGCAGTGCGGAGCCTCTGACGCCCCCAGCCCCTGAAGCAGGGTCAGTTGCTGGTAAGACAGGGTGAGGGCTGTGCTCCCTGCCTCAGCTCAGTGACCTGCTTGGAGACCCTGGCCTTGCCCTTGGCCTCATTAGCCTGGCTGACTGTAATTGGCTGCTCAGGGAGCTGTGGAGCTTCTGGTACATGAGGCGGAGACCCATACGGTGAGTTAGAGGAGGCAGGCTCTGTGAAAACTCGCCACTCACTGGAACACTCAAATGGCCATCAGTCCCTTGCCAGTGCTGACCATCTGCTGTGTATCTGATGGCCAGCACTGGGGGGAATGACCTTTCTAAAATATGTATGAGTGTAAAAACACTCTTCAGGGATAAGGTGGATCAAGAATAGCAAGAAGTAGCCAGTAGCTCCCTTTACGGAGCACATTGGTACACCCTGTACAGCAGACTCTGAGTTCAGCACTTTACAAGTGTTATCTGATTTTATTCTCCTCCAGATCCCATCACATGAACAGAAAGCTGCAGTTAAAAGTTCAGAGCACTGGCTGGGGATTCGACTGGCTGGGTTTAAATCCTGAGCTGGCCATTTACTAGCAAGTGACCCCCTGCCATGACTTACCCTTCTGTAAAATGGGACTTTGATAACAGTACTTCTTCACGTATGAATACTAAGTGAGCTAACAAATGTCAAGAGCTTCAGCAAGGCCCAGCAGGTAGCTGGGACTCAGGGCATAACAACTGTCCTCACTGACACTACTTTCCAGATGAAGACACAGAGGTTTAAAGAGGTGACTGCTTTGATTCATTTTACTTAGCTAAGTTGGTGGTAGAGCCAAATTCTGGGCCCTAGCCTGAAAGGCTCTTAGTAACAACCCACCACTCCTAGAAGTTCCAGGACAATCTGTTCACAGGACACAGGGTCCTCCTGCCTCTGCGGTCAGAGTTCCTGACCCAGCATCAAATGAGGACTTGCTTAGGCGGATCCTAGCACACAATGGATTGCAGGCTGGCTCCCCGCAAATTACATCCAGACCTCAAACAGTGAAGACATTCTCTGTAGCGTTTATTCCACTGTATTGTAATTTTCTACTTTTCTGATCATCTTTCCTATGAATGGAAGCAGCTCCTGTGATTTGTGGGTCTGCTGCGTGCTGAGCTAGCATCCACTTGCCTACCCTGCCCTTCTCAACCTGCACAACCACCCAGCAAGGTAGATGGATTAAGACTCAGAGGGCTGAAGGTATTGGATGAGTGGCACACACTTGGGATTCAGCTTCCGTTCGTGTTATTTTGTGATGTGCCGCATCAGAAGCGTCATGGGACCTTTAACGCTAACAATAAGCTCAACGGTTGGTAAACAGGCTCTAGGCCCAGTACTATCTCTACGTAGCTCTCAGTTAATCCTCCAAGCATCACAAGTGGGAGATACTATTATTATCTTCTCCTTTTAAAGGAAGCAGGTTCAGAGAGGCACAGAAACCTGTCCTGGGTCCACAGCTTGTAGGGGGTGTAGCTGGGATTTGAACTTAGTAAAACAACATCTGTGGCCTTTTTTCTCCATTTGCAGCCTCTGGGAACCACCTCAAATACAAAGACCATGATTTACACTCCTCTGGATTTTCACAAGGCCCAGCCAATTCCAGGATGCTGACTAAATATTCATTGACTGTATTAAAGCTCGAGTAGACGTTTCGTTTCTCCAAGTGCCCACGCGGATTCCCTCAATCTGTGCATCACGTGGGGGATCTTTTGAGCGTGTGAGCCAGAGAAATGGAAACTGACCCTCTCACCATAACCCTGACCCTGGGCATGTGGCCTCTGATGAAATATTCATTCTAAAGTCAGATTTTTTGCTTGTACTCCTAAAAAACTTGTTGAGAATGCAGAGAGAAAAGGAGCAATTAACTTACAAAAGTCTGGGCTTTCTCTGCTGCCAGCGTGGTTATTAGATGGTTGAGCTGGGCACAGAAGCAACTGTGAACCGCTCTCCCTGGAAGGGTTCACTGCCACAAATCAAAACCCAATCTTCCTGTGGGAAGAGCATGGAAAGGGCTTTCCAAATAGACTCCACGCCCCCAAGCCCAGAGCAGCTCCTAAGAGGAAGTCATCTTAGATCATCAGGCCGGTTCCATGAAGAGGAAAGGTGGCATCTCCATCCCAAGTCCTAAGAATGCTCTGGTCTCTGACCCAGTGTGCATGTTATCTATGGCTTTGAAACGTGCTGCTTTGAAACAACACAATCATTGACGGTCACTTGTGGGTCAGGAATCTGGGAGTAGCTGGGCTGAGGATTGGGGATCCAGGCCTCTGGTGAGGTTGAGGGCAGATGAAGGCTCGGGCTGCCATCATGGATGAGATCCACTTCCTCTCCAAGTTGGTATCTCAAGAGACCCAGGCAAAGCTGCAATGCCTTGGATGACTGAATCTCCCATGTCACACACTGTCCCACGGTCATTGTACGCGACTGTCAGCTCAGCCCCGATTCGGTGAGGAAGGTGAATACAGAAGGTTGTGAACATTAGGGGGTGTGGATCACCAGGCACCCCTTGGAGGTAGGCTGCCATTTCTGGGAATCCTGTCAAGGGAAAGATGCCAGGTGCTACAAATGCATTAGGCACAGAGAGGTTCCTCACAGTGTGTTAATCATAGTAAGAAACTGGAAATAACCTCTAGGTCCTTCTGAGATTGAATGAGTCGACTCTAGCACAGCCACCCAACAGAAAAATGATGAGAAAAAAGTGGAAAATCATCATCACACTTTGAACAGTGGTTATTTCTGTGGACAGCAATGAGTTTGAGTAGTTCATGTTGAAAATTGAGGTGCAGGGCCTCCCTGGTGGTGCAGGGGTGAAAGACAGCGCTATCAAGCTATTGCCAGCCACTGCAGCATGAGTTCGATCCCCAGCCAGGGAGCTACCCACATGGCACAGCCGACCTCTCCTGTCTCACCCGCTGCTCCCCTCAGCAGTGCGTTTCAGTAGACCAGCCTGTTCTGCTCCCCACCCTGTCTCTGGTGAATCCTCTCACCCCCCCGCATCTCTGGTCTACGCCCCAGTTTTGTATGCATAAGTAAATAATCTTTTTTTTTTAAAAGGAAAGAAAATTGAGATGCAGAGTGTCCCAAGGTGGAGCCAAATGAAGGAGCGACAGAAGTTGACTCTGTAAATCCATCTGGCTGCTTTGTCCTCAGCACCTCCAGAAAACTGAAGCTGAGCACTTCTGATTTCTGAGGGCCCACGTTGAGACATCCCTCGAAGCAGGCTGTGTCTTTTCAAGCCAGAGGCTCTGCAGCCACCTGTGAGGTTGGATTCCAAGTCGTAGCTGGCGCAGCTACAGGTCAGGGATCAGCTTCCATCTGCCTCTCTAATCCTCTCTGCCACCTCCACCAATGAGGACACCGAGGTCCTCTCCAGCACCCAGGGCTGGGCAGGGCCGCGGGGCACTCCTGCTCCTGTTAATTAGAAACAGACGTTTATCCCCTGCCCCCTTCCCCGCCACCAGTTCAGTGGGAAGTGACCAGCCATTTTCTTGACCCCAACACATTAATTATCCAGGGATTGCAAAGAAAATGAAACCGTTTCTGGAAGAAATCTATGGTCCCATCTGTCGCTCTTTCCCTAAGGCTCCCAGGTCTCAAGAAGCTTTTAGTAGATGCAAATACAGGTTTCTCCCTGCAGATTAAACTAAGACCTTTCCCAGGGCCTGGGACAATGATACCCTTAAGGGAGAACAGGCTAACTGGGTGAGAAAATTGGATGCTAATTCTTCCTCTGTCTCCCTCAGAGAGTGGGAGATGACGAGAAAAAAGAAGGCCGCTTTTCTGCTATCATTTTAACACCGATGAAGCAGTTTGGCAGAGGAACACAGACTTTGGTAACAAATAGATTCTATTTTGATCTCCATCTATCCCAGAGCTTTGCTGTGTGGCCTCGGGCAAGTCACGTTGCTTCTCTGGGGCTCCATGTCCTCTCTGTCAAAAGGGGACAGTAATAAGGCCTACCTGTCCTGGTTGCTGAGGGGTTTACCCCTGGGAGGTTAAATTCTTTTTTATTTTATTTTATTTTTATATTCCCCATATAATTGCAACCCCCTTATTTTGACCCCTATCCTGCCTTTCCCCGCCTCCCCCATAAAGTGTCTCTGGTTTACAGTTGTTTGTTGATTTTGATTTTTTCTTTCTTAAAGTTATTCTTTTTCCTGGTCCCTTATTTAAGTTTTCTAGATTCCTGCTATGAGTGAGACCATCCGGTATTTTTCTTTTTCTTTCTGGCTTATTTCGCTGAGCATGATCCCTTCCAGCGCCATCCATGTTGCTGCAAATTGCATGTGTTTACCTTTTTTGAATGCTGAGTAATATTCCATGGTGTATATGTACCACATCTTCTTGATCCAGTCATCTATTTTTGGGCATTTGGGTTGTTTCCATAGCTTAGCTATTGTAAACAGTGCTGCTATAAACATAGGGGTGCAGGTGCCCTTTGGAATTACTGTTTCTGTGTCCTTTGGGTAAATCCCTAGGAGTGGAATTGCTGGATCCTATGGAAGCTCTATGTTTAGTAGGTCCAGAAATCTCCACACAGCTCACCACAGTGGTTGGACCAGTCTGCACTCCCACCAACAGTGCACAAGAGTTCCTTTTTCTCCACACCCTCGCCAACATTTGTTGTTGCTACTTTTTAAAATATGTGCCATTCTCACTGGTGTGAGATGGTATCTCACGGTAGTTTTGATTTGCATTTTCCTGATTGCAAGTGATGTTGTCTTAACCCCTTGCGCCACCAGGGCATCTTTACCATTTTATGGAAGAAATTTCTTTCCCCTCTGCCGCATCTCCTTCAGCCCTGAACCCTTTCACCAACAAGCCCTTCAGGAGCTACAGCCACAGCTGCCTCCTCTCCTCATGTCCAGTCTGCCTGGCCAGCCGTTCGTAGCTGCTTCTGCTCCCCATCCCGCGTCTGCTCTTTCCAAGGTCACTGACAGCATCCCCCGGTGGCACCCGGGCCCTTCCCGTGACGCTGTCTCTAGCACCTCTGCTTGCTCCTGGTTTGCTCCTGCTCCTCTGGCCATCTCTCCAATGAGAGTGTCCCCAGGCATACTCCTGCACCCCTTCTTCTTGATCTACACCCTCTCCTGCGTGCACCCACCTGTTTCCGAATCTCTGCTCAGCCCATACCTCACAGCCGACCTGTAGGGACCAAGACCCAGTCGCCTCCTGGGCTTCTCCATGTGGCCCCTGCACCTCAGACTGTAGCTCATTTCCTCCCCACACCCACCCGCCTCCCTCGTGGGTTCCCACCTGAGGTGACGTCCTCCTCATCCACTCAGCTGCTCGCTGCAGAGCTGAGGTGCCTCCCTTGACTCTTCAGCCCATCAAGTCAGTCTCCTGAGGTGCTCCCAGGTCAACCTCCAACCCAGGCCAGTCACCCTTCAGCTGTCCATCGCGGAGCACCCACTGTGCATGGGCACACAGTAGGTGCTGGCCTTCGCACCTGGATCTCTGGCACCCCATCTTTAGTGGTCTCATCCACGAACACTTTCCGCCAGACCCTGGGTGATCTCTCCAACACAATGTTGTCCACGGAACTTTCTGCCATGATGGAAACCAACACTGTGCCATCCAGCAGGGCGGCCACACAAGGCTGTGGAGCACCTGGAAGGTGGCGGTGGGACTGGGGTGCTGAATTTTTTATTTCATCTATTTAATGATGTGTACATTAGCTTGAGCGACCACAATGAAATGCTACACTGGGTGGCTGGAATGAAAGAAGCTGATTTTCTCACAGTTCTGGAAGCTGGAAAGTACAGTAAGGTGCCAGGCTGTTGGGTTCTTGGTGAGAACCCTCTTCCTGGCTTGTTGAGGGTGTTCCTCACATGGGGGGACAGCAAAAGGGGGGCAGGAGGGAGACAAAGGACTCACTGGTGTCTCTCTTCTTAGAAGGGCATCAGCCATATAGGGTTAGGGTCCTACCTTATGACCTCACTTAACCTTTGTCACGCCTCACATTTGCAAACATTGCCTCACCTTGGAGTTAGGATGTCAGCTTAGGGCTCGGTGGGGGATGCAAACCTTCAGCTCCTAGCAGCGTGGCCTCCCTATTGGGGAGCAAGGAGCCATGTGGCTACTGCAGCCCTAGAGGGAAAAGCTGACCGTGTCCCTCCACAGTTCGCAGGCTTTGCAAGGCTCCGATGCCCTCAGCGAGGACAGGCACCCCTGCCACTCTCTGAGACACCAGCCTTTGTGGGGTTCGAGGGAATGATCTAAGGGGGTAGCATTTTTTGTGGAAAGAACACGAGGTTTTGAAGTCAGACAAGGTAGGGGAGCTCAAGCTCCATTTCCACAACTCTCACACTTTCATCTATGACCCTCAGTTTTGGCATCAATCAGATGGGGTCACAGCACCTCCCTGGGCCGGTTACTGTGAGAACGAGATCTTGTGCCGCTCTGGCGGCTCCAGATGGGAAGTCTGGGGAGGCGAGGGAGGCTCCTACAGACGAGACACTCTGGCTGCCACCCCACAGGTAGGGACTTCCTCTCACAGAAGCCAGTCTTTGAGTTTTGGGGGTGGAAGATCAAAGTCCCTCCCATGGTAGCAGGGAGAAGAAACGGACGGTGAGCAAGGCCCAGAGTTATCCTGTCACTGGGCAAAGGGCAGCAGCACTGGCAATGTGGGTCTGCAGACACCCCAGGGAGACTCCGCCCCACAACTGGCAGTTCCCGCAGTGGGGAGGGAGACCCCCAAAGATGGCGGGTTCTGCCTACTTCCTGTGAGTCTTTGGGACTAGCAGGTCCTTCATCTGGAATTGGAGTCTGAGGTGCCTCCCAGCCTCCCCTGGGGGGTATGCCCAAGATGGCGTAGCTGGAGGTCCGCAGGAGGCTCAGAGGGCTCGCACTCAGCACCGGGTGGGTGCCAGGTCATAGGGGTATCGCCTACATTCATTCATTCTTTCACTCAACACAATGGTAGGCATAGGGCGAACCACAATAAACCTGACCCAGTCCTGGCCCTGAGGGGGCTGGGAGTCTTGAGCATGCCCTTGGGGTACCCACACTAAGCAGCCATCTCATCCAGATTGGGGCGGTGCTGGGGTGCTTTCTTGGACTTAGTTCTGTAATTCTATCCACCTTCCAGGCCGCCCGGCCAGGGATTCCTATAACTTCTGAGCCTCTGGGCCGAGAGGGAGAGATGTGATGGCCCTGGAGGAGACGGGAGGCCCTGGGAGGGGACATGCAGAGTGCAGGGAGCTGCGCTGAGCCCACAGTCCAGGGAGACAGTGCAAGGAACGCCCAAGCCTCAGGCAGGGTGTGGTTCGCTGAGCCTCCAGCCAGAACTGTGACCTCAGTCAGACCCCGGAAGCCTCCAGCAGGAACGAAGCCTGGGCTTGGGGGGCTGTGACCCAAAGAGAGGAAGGCATCTGGAGAGGCAGGCAAGAGCTAAGAGAAGCAGCAGCAAAGGGGGCCATGGTGGGAGAAGATTTTGAGCTTCTACTTCCAGAGCTGGTGAAACTTGAGTTCAAATCCAGGTGGGATGTGCATGGGGATCTTCAGCAGGTGATGTCAATTCTTGGGGCCTCGGTTTCTAGAAAACCTGTCACTAACACTTTTAGGTGACTTGAACAACTACCAAACACGCACAGCACTTGCACAGGCAATCTGCTCCCAGGACTTGATGTGCGGGTGTGTTTTTTTTTTTTTTTTTAATTTTTTTTTTTAAGATTTATTTATTTATTTATACAGGCACTGGGTACAGTCAGAAGCGCGGGAGGGTGAAAGAATCCACCAGAGCCAGAGCGGGGAGCAGAGCAGGCAGAAGGACCGAAGTACACTGCTGAGGGGAGCAGCGGGCGGCAGGAGAGGTCTGCGCGCCATGTGGGACCCTCCTCCAGTGGGCGGGGAGCAGCCGGGGATCGAACCTGCGTCGCAGAGGCCGCGGGCAGCTTCGCAACCCAGCGCTCAGCCGCTGCGCCACCGGGGAGGGTGTTTTTAATGAGAGGTGTGTGGCACTGGCTCGGCCAGCACCCGGGAGCAGCACACCAGCTCCTGCGCTTGCCGCTTTGTTACAGTGACTGTTTCACTTTCTAATCAGGAATAGCAACCACAGTAACAATCAGCAGAGTGAATTCCATTTTGGGAGCTGGATGGCTCTGGATAGCCTGGGAGCTTGGCTGTGAGCTAGACTAGGAGGACGGTTCAGGAGGGTCTGGTCCTGTGGGGGCTGTGCCTTTGGGATTTTCTCCCAGAACCCCCAGGAAGAAAACCGAGAATTAGAACTCCCTATGGGAGATCTGGGTGTGTGATGTGTGTGTGCCTGCGTTTGTATGTACATGTGCTGGCATTTGTTGCATGCGCTTGCATTTGAGTGTGTGAGTTTGTGCGTGTGCGTGTGTGTGTGTGTGTGCACGGAGCGGGTCTGTGGGGATGGTTCAGAGAAGGTCTCTCACATCACAGTCCTGCTCAAGTCTCTTGTGCACGCTCCATCCCAGCCTCCCCGGCCTGTCCAGGCCCTCCACCGTCCAAGCCCAAGCCCCGCTGCCAGCCTCCAGCCTCAGCGTCTGTTGTGGCAGATGTTTGGCTGTGCCATGGCAACACCAGAACAGGATGTACCTCTGGATTGCAGCAGGGACAAGCCCACGCTCAGGGCCCGCCCACACTGCTCCCCTCCCCAAAGGCTGGTCGGAAGGATCTCTAGGGCCCAGGTCCAGGACAAATGGTGTTTGTGTCTACAGAGAGGCAGAGCCAGCCAGAGCACTCTGGCGGGTGGATAGTGCAGGGGAGAGGGGCCCATGTGCACATCCCATGTGCATCCTGGCTCCAGCGAGCTTGTGTTTGCTTCCCTCTGCCCTTCAGAACAATTAATGGTGGGGTGAGGAGCTGCCAGCAGCAGAGACCAGTCTGCGAGTGGCCGCCCACTCTTACAGGGGCTGCTCACCCCAGGGTAACTTTGAGCCCAGGTGTGTGCTGAGTAGTTTATCTGACAAGCAATATCCAAAAAAATGCCAGGGCAATATTTTGTGCTATTTACACTATGCTAGCCTTTATGATAACATTGTGAAGTTATTCCTGCTTTTCAAATGCAGAAACTGAGGCAGAGAGGTTGTCACCTGCTCACAGGTGTTGGGCATAGAGTTGGGCAAGCTAGAGAAGCAGACCCAGGGCTGTCTGGCTCCAAAGCTCCTGATCTGTGGTTCCAGGCCCGGCTACCTAATTTGCAGCATGAGAAACACAAAGGATAGACCCTTGTTAAAGAGTTATTAGGGAGGTCCTCCCCGGGTGGCGCAGCGATTGAGCAGTGGGCTGCAAGGCTGCCCGCAGCCTCTGCAGCGCTGGTTCGTTCCCAGCCGCCAGCGAGGGTCCCACAAAAAGGAAAAAAAAAGTTATTAGGGATTTCAAGATAGCTACAGCACTCGCCCGGTCCCAGGGCCCTGGCAAGTTCAGAGTCCTGTGCACCAGGCGTGCGGCCAGCCCGGAGGCTGCACTTCCATCATTATACCACTGGCTCCACTGCCATCCCCTAAGATGCTCAGAAGGGTGGGCGCGAGCACCCCGGGCAACTCACTGCTCAGGATAGGAGCCCCTGCCTGGCACCCCAGAGCCACAGAGTTCTGAGAGCTGTCCTCGTTTCGTGGAGCCAGGCTACCCCATCACAGGCGAGAGCTGCTGAGTTCCCTTGAGTGATGTGCCTGGAAGCTTAGACTTGCGAGTTTTAGCTCAATTTCCATTTACCAGTTTTATTATGTGAGAGCTTTTGGGATGTGGGTAAAAGGCAGGGGAGGGAGGATGGAAAGCTCAGATCTGACCGGCCTACCCCACTGTGTTAGCAGGTGTTGTACTTTCTTGCCTTTTACAGAAGGACTTCCTGTCAGGACCCTCGCGGATGAAATGGGCGGCCCATTCTGTGTCCCAGTGCGCACGGGTGCATGTTGTCAAGAGACAGGCTTGGATGGCCTTTCAGACTCTTTTGGATTCTGGAAAAAATTCAGGAGTCTTAGATTTATGGCAAATACTTGGTGTTGACCTGGGTTTCTGTCCAATGTCCCAGAGGTGACAGACTCAGGCCTGCCTCACAGGAACACAGTTAGGTAGTCATGGGTCTCCCCAAACGCTCTAAGCCCTGATGAATGAAACAAACTTATTTTTGTGGCGTATTTTACCCACTCACTCCTTCACTCCCTCATCAAATGTTTATTGAGCACCTACTGCATGCTAAGCACGGCACTAAATACATTAAGGGTTATTTTCTTTGGGATGAAGGTTATGGGGTAAAAAAGTGCATGAATTTTGAGTCATGCACCCTGGGCCTTTGTCCCTTCCTGGCTGTGTGCCCTTATCGAGGTTGCCTAACCTCTCTGTGCTTCCAACTCTTCCTTTGCAAAACAATCACGTCTGCTGTGAGGATCAACTTGTTAATATATGTGTACACTTGGAACTAGTAGATGCTCAGTAGAGTCTACTTCCGTTACTGCCCCCCAATCTCTCCTGCTGGTACCCACATTAACAGCCACCACTGATTGAGTACTGGTAATTTTCTGGGCTTTGCACACATTATCAGCTAATTCTCAAATAATTGGCCCCAGGAGGTAGTCAGCATTGTCCTTAGCCCGTTCTGATATCAAATATCACCTCCAACTACCACTTGTGGGGGAATTTCTCATGCATCCTCTTCTGGGCTGGAGGATATGCACAGGTACGCCAACATTTTGTTTGCTCAAGCAGTTTACAAAAATAAAAGAACTTCAGGCTGAAACAGGACCCTATGCAAACATACTTCAGGGAGGAGGAGCATTTCCCTTTAGAGGTGAAACACGGGAGCATGGTTGGGGGAGACACCTTGCCTGGTGGGAGTAGCCTCTGGAGCATGATGTGCTGCATTTCCCAGGGGCTGGCGGCTTCAATCATCTCTATTTCCTTGCTGATGCCTCAAGGGAGACCAGACACACCTTCAGCTTGTTTCCTCCTGCCTCTGGGTGAGAGACGGCTCTGGGAAGGGCACAGGTGGGGAAGGAGTTGCCCCAACCTGGCTGCCCCATTTTTTAGGAGTAACCTTGGGCCAGAGACTTCATACTCTGCAGGCCAGTTTCTCCATCTGTAAGCTGAGGATAACGTCCCCAGGGCCGTTTGGAGGACTCGAGGGGATGTAAAGTGCCAGTGCACAAGGCAGGAGGTATAGAAATGCTCCCTGCTGTGGGGGTGGCGAAGGGGATAATGGTGTTTTCTGGGCAGGTCTTGCTTTGTGCACTGCTGTGACCAGCCCCTTTAGACAGGGCTTCCCTACCAGGAAGTGAATCTTCCCGATATGCCCAGTCTTCCTCCCAGCTCTACTTTCCGGAGCATCTTCCAAGCATCTTGCCAAGAAGACTTTCCCAGGCAAACACATGCACGTGGGTCCTCCCCTGCAAATCACCCCCACTGGAGGTGCATCAGGATCACACTCAACCTCGGGGTTGCTACCCAGCACGAAACCAGGGTAAAAGCAGGAACATTCTCCCAGGGCCCTGTGTAAGCATGTATCTGCCAAATTTTGGGAACACCCATATTCTATTAGGCTGATGTGGGTGTTGTCTCCAGAAAGCATGTGTGGAATGTGATCGTAACTAGCAGAGAGGAAGCCTACTTGATTGCATCACATTCTTTTTTGGATGGTCTCTAAACTTGGCTATCAGAATCCCCAGGGAATTCATCAGAACCACTGTGGGCTGAGCCCCAGCCCCTGGCTGATTCATGTTTGCATCCTGAAGAGTTTGTTGGGTGTCCCTGCCAGGTGTCCCTGGCAGCAAAGCCATCCTGAACTGTGACCCTCAGTGGGTCAGCTTCAAAACATCTTTCAGCAAGGGCTGTGTGACAGCCAGTCAGCTCTCACCACAGGATTATCCCACTACCTTGGCTTTGACCTCATACTCAATAAGCAGCCCACAACCATAATTGGGCTTCAGGCGTAGATTTATCTGGAAAAACTCAATGCACTATTGGGCAAGGATGAGTAAGCTGGACTGCTCGCCTGTTCTAATTCCCGTGTAAAGGGAAACACTTGCATCTCGCTTTATCCATCAGTTTCCCGTGAGTCCAGGTGAGACACAGCAAGCCTAGGTGAGCTGTTCTGGATCCACAGGAACTGGCCTGTAGTGTTCACCCAAGGCACCTGAGTCAGTGTGTGCTCACCACACTGGGTGCACCCAACAGGTCCCGGGCCCCCTGGCGGCTGGGGCGGGGCCGTGTGACTCAGCTCCCATTGGAAGATGAGGTGTGGGAGGGATGGAAGAGAGAACATGAGCCGCACTCTCCTTCCCGACTGCATAGGTGGGAGAAAGCCAAGATGGCAGGGTTTGGGATGCAGCAGCTTGGCCTCCTAGCCACCGAGGAAGGGAGCGGAAGCTACCTGACCTGCAGATGGTGACCGAGCACCAGCTAGTTTCTGATCCTTTTCTGTGGATCCCCCCTGGAAGATGCTTTAGACTTGGGGCAGGCTTTGGGGCCTTGCTCTGGGCCAATCCTGCTTGGGTGGACTTTTACCCACGTGGGGACGGGGAACTTTGGGTGCTGGATTTAGAAACTAGATTCCTTGCCTTTCCCGCATTGTTTCCTAGTTGTATTAAAGTTCCTTCCCATTAAAGTCTCCTATGTTTTGTGTTGATGTGGCGGATGGCAGAACCCATTTAGAGCAGGCAGGTTTGCGGGGTCTGGGCTGCCCCTCTCCCTGCCCTGTAAGATTCTTGATCAGGTGCAGCGACTGACACTCCCCAGAATCCCTGTCCTGGCGTGGCCATAAGCAGCCCCACAGCCCCCTTCTCCCACCGGGTCGGGTATGAACAGCACAGGTGGCCTCTCCAGCTTTTACGTGGCATGGGGGGGGGTTCACCCCGGGGCCATGTCCCACCCCCGTGAACAGGAGACAAGCGGGCCTGCCCTTCCTCACGGTCAGAGCCAGGAGGGAAGATGACTCCTGGCGGGAGCTGACATTTGCTCCCTCGGCTTTTCCTCTGGGGTCCTTCATCCACGCTTTTCGCCTGGGCTTAGCCCACGGAAGTTGCTCAGAAAAGACCGGCCGTGAAGCGGAGGAGGAGGAGGAGGAAGGGGCATCCCACTGGCTCCACAAGGGTGGAAGAGGCAGCTTCCTTTCGCACAGACTCGCCGGTCGTCAGGCACTTATAAACGAAAGGTTTATTTCCGTCACAAGAAGCACAGACTATATACAGTACACATCAACCAAAGTAAAAAAAAAAAAAAAAAAGTGCGTTATGCATCTTCTACTGCAAATTCACAGTACAAAAGATACTGCCTTTTAAATATATAATATAAAAACGAAAAAAATTAAAAAATATGGGTATCATAACGCAACACACTGGATCTCACTGGCAGCTTCTGAAAACCAAAGGGCAGTTTGCCTCGGGGCGCCAGGGGCTGTACCTGCATTCTGCTGCAAAGAGCTCAGGCCCCCAACAGGAGAGAGAAAAGGGTGGCCGAGGGGGTAATAAAATCTCTATTAAACGAGAGTAGACGGTGTGATGAAGGGGGCGGGGCCCGGACGGCGCGCCCAGCTTGCCCGCAGACCAGAGGCCCTGGGACGCAGCGAGCAGGCTCCGGCGGGGCGCCCGGGCCGCGGGCGCACTCAGGACGGCGTGGCCAGGACCACAAGCAAGGGCCGGGGCTCGAGCCCTCACACCAACCACCACTGCCAAGGCAAGGGATCCAATCACAGAAGGTGAGAGCTTAACAGTTTCCCATAAATACACAGTATTTGTAAACTATTATTAAGGCACTCAATTGTAAAACAATAATTACAGTGTAGGAGGGAGGGAGGAAGCAGCCATCTTCTCGGGCGGCAGGGCCAGCAGAAAGGACAGCAGAGGACTGGCCGCCTGGTTAAAAAGACTCCTGTTTAGGAGGCGGAATGAAGCCGGGGCCGCAGCAGCTACTGCAGGACAAAACCAAGGCAGATCTACGGAGGGAGCGTCAGCTCCTGGTGGTTCCCGGGGACCGGCTTCGAGGTTTGGGTACCACAGCGGGCATGTGGATGCCGGACAGGGGAGGCGTGTGATTGTTGGGCTCAAGTCAGGTGGGTGTCTGTGCAGAGCGCACTCATGCTCATAGGTTTTCCATTGCAGAGCAGACGGATGAAAAACCAAGCGGCTAAACACAGGGCTCAATGGACCGTGCTCGGGGGCACCGGCCTCGGCCAGACACCCAGCTCGGCAGCCCGGACGCACCTACTTCCAGCCTCGCCCGGCGCCCTTTGTGTGCGTCTGGGGAAGCCCTGCGAGGAGCAGGACGCATTCCGACTGCAAGCATTTCCCGTCAGTGGGCAGCAAGTCCTTCTTTGGGCACCTAGGCCAGGTTACTTACATGATCTGACCACATGACGCAGCACTTTTTCCCATGAGGGAGAACTGGCCCCTGGGGAGCAGGGGAGTCACCGGCCTTCTGGGACCCGCCTGTGCAGGAGAGAAGACTACGGAGGCTAGCACTGCTCTGAAGGTGTTCATTCTATTGCCTGGCTCCATCCTGAGGCTGCCTGGTGGCTTCTCGGCAGGGGGAGGACTTCAGAATGGACTGGAATGCTCTTTAGCTGAAGAGGGTGCAGAACTGGGGTGGGGGGGGGCAGGAGAAAAGGCAGTCCTCTGTGAGCCCTGGCGAGTCTGCATGCCCAGTGGTCAGTGGCACTGTCCAGCAGAGCGCTGCTCAGGAGCCAGGAGATCGACATGTGTTCCCTCACTGAGCCCACGGAGACAGGGAAGACCAGAGAAGAAACCTTGCTCTGACGCTCCCCCGGGGAGGGGTGCTGCTCTGAGACCCTGAAGTTGCTACAAGACAGAGAAATGGAAACGGGCATCGCTCAATCATGATCAGGCCACAGGGCATCCCTTTGCTCCACGGCCAGTCTCCCCCTTACACTTATCACTTACACTTATCACAAAAAAGGGGGGACCAGAAGGTGTCCCTGTGTCCATGCAAGACGAAGATCTAGTTCGCTCTACCTCCAGCCTGCCGCGTGACCCCAGCGACGGCTCAGCGCCGCCGAGCCCTGGGGTATGAGGAGTGCCAGGAAGGTGTGTTTTCTCCTAATTCAACACAAACACCCCATGAAAATGGCAGTTACCAAACCACGGCTGGCCCGGCAGACCCCTCCCTCACATTTGTGCCGCTCACGCTCGGGATTTCCCCCGCAGGCCAAGATTCCGAAGCACACCTCAAAATAGGGCGTATCACGGAGGAGGCCCTCTCCTCGGACACCAGCATGAGTCTGTCCTGCCAGGGTGCCAAGGAGCCTGTCTGGTCAGTGTAACATTTTGAGCAGCAATTCACCTGATCTGGGTCACAAAGAAAAATCACCCTTTTCTCCAGGCCGGAGGGTTAACCTGCACCTCAAAAACACTTTGTTTTGCGCTGCTGATGAGGACCTGGGCCCTGGTCTGTCTCCGTGTTGATACGCTAGCTGTGCTGCTGAAAATGAATGGGTAAGTTTGCCAAAAGCCGAATAACCACTCATATTTGCAATTTTCCTCCCACCCTTTAACTGGATAAGAAAAATTATGGCTTTCAAAATTAAAGTTTTCAAAAATGTGTCACCTCATACACAGACATGGTTTAAAAACCAACAGAAGCCTGTCATCACCAAATCTGAAGGATTATTTTGACACAAAAATTGATCTACCACATGAAATTTAATTTGGCAAAACATATTGAACTTGGTATTTTTTTTGAAGACTCTGCTTTTCTTGGCGGAGGGGCAGGGGAAACCCATAAGGGTTTCGGAATAAGTGGATAATCACCTTTTAAGGTGATTTCAATTGACAGTGGTAGGAAAACAAAATGCTTTAAAGAAAAATACTGTATATTAAAAAAAAAAAAAAAAAAAGGTGGTCAGGGAGAAAAAGTTCCTGGAGAGAGGTTTTTGCAAAAACTCTGCCCACTGGTAAAATATGGAACGGCCTGTCCCTAAAAACCCTGCCGGGGGAGCACTTGGCAGGGGCGGTGGGCAGTGCTGACCAATGTAAGATGGCAACCCATTCACCTGCTTCCAGAGCCCATCTGGCCCTTGAAGGACTCCTAGTCCTTTCACTGAATTCATCTGGCTGACCCCGCTGAGGGCAGCGGCTACTGGGGAAGCCTCAGCCCCTCCTCGCACGCAGCTGCCCTGCCCTGCCCTGCACAAGACCCCGGCCGGGGCTGCGCTGGCGAAGTCTGGGTGGGAGGAGGGAAGGGCTTGCCTGGGGTGTCTAACAGGGGGCTCTTCAGATGGGGCCAGCTTTGTTTAGAGGGCCCTGAGCCGCCCGTGTTGTCAAATAAAGCCAGGAGTCAGCTGGCTTTTTCTATGGCGTATTAGTTGATTTTTAAAACAGCCCCTTGAAAATGATCTTAGCTCATTAAAATAACATTTTTTAGGTCATGGGGCCATACACTGTCATTACTAACCCCTGAGTTAAACCCTCTGCCCTCTTCTAAGCCTCTTCTCTTGCTTCAAAATATTTTAATGTCTTCTGGCTGCTGGAAACCAGGCGAGTCCCTCTACTCGGGCCCAGAGCCCAGGGCAATGTGCCTCCCAGAGGGCCCGGGTTCCTGACTCGGCTGCCCATGGAGTTCAGCTGGGGAGACCAGCTCAGCCCATGGAGACCTGCCTCTCCTTGGGGAGAGCCAGAAAGAAGCAGGAAGCAGTGTTTTCAGCGGAGGAAGGGGCCACTGTAAACATCTGTGACGCTTATCAACAGTCTCGTTTCCCTTGGAGAGGCTGCCACGGAGCTGCTCCTGCAGAGACTGATAAGAGCTCACTGCTGAAACCTCCTTTTCCTCCCCGAATATGCATGGACGGGAGCTAAAGAACCTGAGTTCGGAACCACTGCCAGACCCACCAGGTCCTCCAGCGCTTTCAGATCCTAAACACAACCTCTGTGGGGGCAGCAGCAGATGAGACCCAGAGGTGCACCGGGCAACACAAACTTCTCATCAGCAAAACTAGGACCCCCATACACAGCGCCCCCACCCCACCCCATGCCGGCCAGACACAGGCCGCGCGGCGGCCACGACACAGGCCAGAGACCTGGCGGCACAGGGGTCCAGGCAGCGCCCGACGCCCGCGTGGAAGGTTTCCCAGCGGTTCTCGGCGCAGCTGGCTTCGAAGTCCTTACACCTGTTGGGGGGCCCAACCCAAACAAAACAATTCTTCTTTTGGAAAACCCTTTCCCGACACAGCTTGATTCCCTGGAATGAGCCTTGGTCATGACTGTATTAAAAAAAAAAAAAAGCAGAGCAAGAACAGAGGTAGGACTTCTATTGCCATTCAAGCGTTTCCGCGACGTGTGTGCGTGTCCGCTGCGCTCTTCCCCAGACTGGATCCTCCCTGACCACACGACTTGGGGACTGAGTTGTGTCTCCTGGCCGACAGCTTCTGGGTCGCGCAGGCCACACAGTGAAGCCCCCTCTCTCCTCGCGCTGCCCGTCCTCAGTCTTGCTTCCCCTCCTCACTCCGGCAGGCGGGGGGCAGTCCGGAGGCCGCCAGCTGTCTGAGACACCTGAAGGAATAGGGGCGACCAAAACCCACCGTGCAGTGCTGGGCGGGTCGGGTGAACGTGGAGGCTAAAGGCAGCAGAAGGCGGGTCAGCTCTTGCTCATCCACAAGGGGCTTTTCAAGTTTTCTGGGGCAGTTTTCCCTGACGGTTGAGAGGGGGCGGCTGGGACTTTCGGGGTGGCCTGGTGCTCCTGCAAGAAGGAAGACTCGCCCGTCCTGGCGTCCTGGGAGTCGGCGATGGTGGACACGTCGGCTTCGCTGGCCAGGTCTTCTGTGGAGAAGTCGAGGCTTCCGAGCTTGGCGAGAGAGTGCGAGCGCTTCAGCGGGGATGAGATGGTGAGGCCCGCCAGCCGCAGACGGGTCTCGATCTCCTGCGTGCGCTGCTTCACCAGCCCCGGCTTCCCGCGGACGCTGTGGATGCTGTCGCTGCTGGAGCTCCGGGTCAGGTTGGAGCTCATGGAGGACGAGGTGGGGGTGTAGCAGATGGTCTTCAGAAAGTCTTTTGAGAAATGAGTGGTGTGGTCCAGGCGGCAGAGGAAAGCAGGGGGGCTCCTGAGCGAGGCTCCTTCCGATGGAGGGGGGGCGGCCTCCACCTTCTCATCGCCCCTGGCTTGGCCAGGCAGAGCCGGGTCCTGGCTCTCCTCAGGGATGCTGGCCTCCAGCCTGCCGGCGGGGCCGTCCCTGCATGGAGATGCGGGGTCTGTGGGCGCGCCCTTCAGCCTCTCGAGCTCTTTGGTGTGCTTGCGGACCAAGCCCGCCTTCTGCAGCTGAATGATGGATTCCTGGTGCTGCATCAAGTAGCTGCTGGCTGTGGGCTTCTCAGACTCTTTGCTGAACAGAAGCCGGAGGTCCTTGGCTGGCTTCAGGTCTTTCTTGGGTGGTGATTCTTCCTTCACTACCTCCATGCTGGGAGGGTTCTTATCACAGTGAGAATTCTTCAAAAGGAGTGACTTTGGCAGGGTGACTTTTGGGGTCTCTCTGGAAGATTCCAAAAGGCTGGCTGGTAGCTCAGGGGCAGCCCCGGCCCCAGAGCCACCGGTGTCTGACCTCCGGGAGCCTGCTGGTGGTAGGAACGGGGCAGTTTCGGTTGGGCCCGAGGCCAGTTTTTCCAAAGCTCGGGACCTGCTGGACATGTGGGCCACAGGGGAAGATGTGAGGTGGGGCAGGAAGGTCGGCTGGGTGCAGATGGCAGGAGCACTGGGGTTCTGGCATCGCTCCCCCGAGGCCTCAGGAGCCCCGCCAGCTGCAGGGTACATGCAGTCAGCACAGGATTTGTAGGAAGGTTTCACTTTGTTAAGGATCCCAAAGATAGCGTCATGCTGAAAGGGGACAAGAACAGGGTCAGAGTGTCATCACGAGCCAAAGACGGGAGGGGCGGCGGCTGGGCAGGCCAAGGGGTGTGGGCTCCTCTCTGTGCCCACCTGACCGTGGGTAACATCAGCTAGAGGAGATGCTCAGCCAAACTTTCCACCCGTGACGTGCCCCAGAGCCACGGCAAGCCTCCCTCGGCCACATGGCTGCTGCTGGCCACGGCTGGCCAGGAGCAGGACCTCCCTTTCACCCTCCTGCGCTCTGGGGTCCTTTCTGAGTCTTGGGCTCATCAAGAAAGGAGGAGACTCACCCTTGTGGCCCTGTGAGAATGAAATGAACCCGCATGTCTGGCACGCAGGTGCTTCTCCCTTCTTTCCCTTTGGGAAGAAGCTGCATTTGGGGAGGCAGCAGCCTGCACAAGACCCCATCCCGTCTGGCACGAACAGCTTGGCTCCAGAGAAGCATCGTTGAGCTGTGGTCTCCCAAGGGATGGCAGAGGTGGAAATGGCTTTGGAAAGACTTGAGTACAGCCCCCACCAGGGGTGCCACGGCCCTGATGAGGGAATCCAGGCGGAGGGGGGCTTATCTATCAATGGGAACTGCCTGCCTCTGTCACTGGGTGGGGGAGGGGGCCAGAGAGGGTGGAGGCTTGAAATGAATTGGAGCCTCTATACCCCCACCTCTGAGGACACGTCCCTTCTATGCCAGCCAGGTGCCGGGGGTGCCCTCTGGGCTGACACTGGGTGGAGAACAGCACGAGTGCAGGCAAGGGGGTCGGCCACCCCCAGAGCTGTTCTGCCGTGAGTCCTAACACGGAGCCTCTGTGCACAAGGCTGATGTGGTAGGTTGCTCCAGCCAAGTGAAACCTGGGGGATCCCCTGACCTTGACTGTCAGAGATTAACAGCATCTTGTGCGGCTGACTTAGTTTCCCCCAAAGTAAGGCGTCGTGGGCCGTCCAGAGCTGGAAGAGCCCAGAGGAGACTCAGCAGTATTCCGGGAGCCGCGGGCCAGCGTGTCAGGAGCACGCGCTGCGGGAGGCAGGAGGCCCGGGCCTGAGGAATCTTATCATAGTCAGGATTCCTGGGCTGGCTTCCAGCTGGACCAGTGAAACAGGTCACCCTCGTGGTAAGGTCTGAACTCTTGACACAGAAACTTTCTGAACTCTGACCACACCGTCTGCATTTCATTTCTTGTAAAACCTTTAGAACCTAAAGTCCTGAAATATGCTGAAGTTACCGCAGCAGGAGGCTTGAGAGCACCTTCCAGAGCCTGCGGGCCAGCCTGGTGGGAGGGGATCCTGCTCGAGTTCAGGGAGCCTCTCCGGGCTGGGATGTGCACCTGCCCCCAGGAGGCCACCCCACTGGTGGGAACAGGTCAGGAAATCGTGCACAGAGCTCAAAGCCCACACAAGGGAAGGCCTCCTGGAGGAATCACACCTCTTCTGAGGTCTCAGGGACAAGCAGGCGAGGAGGCATAGGAGGAGAGAAGAGCCCACACACAGGGGTACATGGTGTGCAGGACAAGGCAGGAGGGGTGGTGGGCTCTGCTCTGCATGAACCCCAAGCTGTGCATTTCTGTCCTTACCTGTGCTCACTCCACCTGCCTGCCTGCAACCCCAGCCAAGGGCCTTGTCAGCCCCTCCCCCAGTGCCCTCCCATGGCCTAGTACCTCTGGGACAACAGGCAGAGCCCCGCCAGCCATCATGCTGGGGGGCCTTGCAGGCCCTGATCACCTGTCCAAGCACACCTGGGCCCACCACCCCACCACCATGGGGCTAGCTTCCGTCCTTCTCCCCACTCTTCAAGCTGTTCTCTCCAGCGTCACACTGAGCACCATCTGCCTGGTTTTGTTAGGTTTGGTGTCTACCCTCGGCCTCCATGCACTGAGACTCCCTGCACTGAGTTATCCACAGCTGGACCCCCTCACCAACCCGGCCCCACAGCTAATAAATACGAGCCAACGCCCGTCTAAGGTCCCGCTCCCTACATGCTGTCCCCGTGGCAGCTGGGGCCAGGAAGGAAGGCTGTGGGCTCCAGCTACCTGCTCATCCCCGCTTCTCTCGGGCTTCTCGTCCTACAGCTCGCGGCTTTACCATTTCAGACTAAGGAAGGCACCACTGTCCTCACTTAGGGGTTTTGCATCACTTATCTCCACAGGTATTTACTCCTCGAGGGAGGGGTGTGTGGGTGAAGTCATGAAATTAGTATTTGCTTTGGAACATGTTTCAGATCTAATTTGCAGTTTTGCCCGCATTATCACAAGACAAAGAAGCCCTCTGCGTGGCTCAGATTGTATCTGCTGAGGCTTCTCACTTGAGAATGGCAGCTGCAGGGAGATGGGGGCAGGGGTAGTGGAGGGGATAGGGAGAGCCTTGGCCGAGGCCACGGTGGGCCAGGGCAGAGCAGGTGGCACAGCCTCCACCCTGGGCCATCCCCTGGCAGGAAGGAGGCGGCCAATGAAATAATGCTTTTATGAATATGTGCCAGACTGCGGCTAAGGCCTTGCTGCAGATCATCGACCAGATACGACAGCTGTAAGGGACAAATGGGGTGAAGCATTAGAATCTGAATTCAAATCCAGACACTGGATGATGCTGAGGAATTACTGTCAGCTTTTCAAAGCTGTCAATGGCCCTGTGTTATGTGAGCTCTGAGAGCGCGCGCGTGGACGGCAGGGTACATGTGGGATTTGGTTCGAGATAATCCAGGGTGTGGGACAGTGGGCGAGGGGTGAGATGAATTAAGAACAGCCTCATAGTGATAAATGCTGAAGCCAGGGGGATACGCTGGAGGCTTGATGTCTCACAGGAGACCGAAGAGCTGGAGTTCCCGCCTGAATAGGAACAAGGTACGTGGGGAGACGGCAGCTCTTCCCTGGGGGACCCCGACCCACTGTGTCCACCTTCCCTGGTGCCTGCAGAGTAGGTCCCGGAAAGAACCTGGCCGCGGGGGTGGGAAGGGCTGAGCAGAGGCGGCCAGGGGCGGGGTGGGGGTGCTCCTCCAGTGGGGCCACAGGGCGTGGACTGCTGCCCCACAAGGCTCCCGCGCCTACCTCCAAGTCTTCGGGACAGCTCCTCTTGCTGTTGTTGTTATTGAGGTTCTCCCGGTTGATCGGGCTCTGCTCGAGCTGGCTTGGAGGCCGCCCCCAGCACTCTGCTCCGGGGGCCTCCTCCCTTCCGCTCTCCTCCACCGGCGCCTGCGGCAAGGAGCGGCTCTGGGCCTTGGGGCTGCCGAACTCAAGTTTCTTCTTCACCTCCTTCTCGCAGGGCGCAGGGCCCTCCTGGAGATGTCTGGCTGGCCTGTGCACTTCTGCTGGCTGGGCGACCTCCTCCAACAGGGCATCCCTCTCCAGGTCCTCCAGCTGGACTGGGTTGCCAGTTCCATCGCTGGGGGAATGCAGGAAGGGGTCCGAAAGACGCCGGAAACAGCAGGGGAGGCTGGGTCCACCCGTGGCCCTGCCGCCTGGGAGCGAGGGCTGGGTGGGGTCACTCAAGCAGGGCAAACGAGGTTCTGGGGTGTCGTCCAGCGTCTCTGGCAAGGAGTCCCCAGGTCCCACGGGGTCACCCAAGGGCTGCTGGAGGCAGTGCTCGGTCTGCTGGCGCCACAGCTTGTTGTGCCGTTGTTTGCTGTGGGGAAGAAGGGCAGAGGGGGGTCAGCAGAGGCCGGCCTGTGGGTCCTGGGACAGCGAGCCAGCCAGGTGTGGCCCAAGGCTTGGTGGACATCAGGATCTCACTGAGGCAAAGCCAGGTCTGTTGATTTGTCCCCAAGAAACTCCAGGATGAGAGGAGCAGCCTAGGAGCCTCAATCCCCACGGCTCGCCAGCAAGGCCTCCGGGGACCCCGTCCTGGGCGGCGCCGGGGCAGACCCGCGCAAGGACGCCAGCCTGGAACCCTGGCCGTGGGCCCGGAGGCTGGCGCGTCTGTGAACGCGGTCAGGCCACTGACTGTTCCCTCTCTCAGCTTCTCCGTTGTCAGCTCAGAATGACCATCCTCTCCTAATCACGCCTAGGGAGCAAAGGGGATCAAAGCGGCGCGTCGGTGAAGATCCACGCGCCGCGACGCTGCCACGTGAATGTGTGTCGCGCCGAATTCAGTTGGGAAGACCCCGAGAATTGGAAATGGTTCAGGTCAGAGATTCCAGGTTAGTTTTAAAGTGTCTGTCGTGCCACGGCTACTTTCATGACGCAGTTTGAAACCACGCCGAGAGAGAGAAACGCGGAAGGGCTATCAGGGACAAGGCCAGTCAGCCAGCAGCCCGCGAACCGCCGGGCAGCACCAACAGGGTGGGCTTGCGAGGGCGATGGAGGGAGGCGGCGGCTCGCGCTCTACGAGGCAGAACCACACGCCTTCAGCGCTGGCTCCAAGGGCACGACCCAGGTAGGCCACGAGGGCACTTGCGTGGGGCTCATTTCAAGGTGAACGCCGTGCTGCTGTGAGCCCAGTCTGGAAGCCCCTGATGGCGGCAGTGAGTGCAGGGCTGAGGAGAGGAGAGCAGGATGGCAATCTTCCTGTCCTCAGCCCTGCAGCTGCCCTCTGGTTGACAGTGAAGGGGTCCAGGGTGTCCAGAGCTGCTCTCCAGATGCCATTCAGCCCTCCAGGGGCGCTCGTGCCCTCCCAAACTTAAGTTAGGGAGCGGGTGGATTTAGCTTGTGGCTTTTTCACACCAGCCAGAAATGGTCCAGCCGGGCCTCATCCAAACTGAACAGAAAGGGGACAAGGAGCAGGTGGTCCCGACACCAGTGGGGACGCCCTCCCTTCCGTGGCCTGCCGGCTGTGTGGCGTGGGTAAAGTCATCGCCAATGGGGGTGACGGGTACTTTGCACACCTTTTCCAGGTGGGGTTTGAGAATTACAAGGCAGCTATGTTATTATTTGCTGTAAGCAAGGACTAGCAAAGCCCCTGTAAAAGTATGTAAATCTCACCACAACCCACTAGGTGGGTGTTCTCAACTCAGACGAGGAAGCTGAGACGGGCCCCAGGTTGCCCAGCTCCTGGCTCTGCCTCTGCAGTCCTTGGAACTTCCCTGCAACGAAGTCTGGCACCAGCTCAGCACAAAGCAGATGCCTGGGAATGGGGCATCCACGTGCCCAAGCCGAAGCTGTGCCCCGGATTAGAAGTTAGGCACCATTCCCTCCGGCAGCAAAATAGCTTTCTGTGTGTGCCAACAAAATCAAAACAGATCCCTTCTGGAAACCACTAATCAAACCTCAAACAATAGTTGTTTTTTCAAAACGGCTCCCCCAAGCAAGGCACGGTTATGGCCGTGGGAGCCCCCTGCCAGGCCAAGGCGGGCAGGTCTGAGATGCAGACTGCGCCGGCCAGCTTGGGGGGCAGGGTTCTCCAGCTCAGTCCTGCCAACCTGCCCTCCAGACGGTCACCCACCTGGCGTCCAAGATGCCTTCATACTCAGACAGCTGCCTCATAAAGCCCGCGTTGGGCCGCGTGATGCTGCGCCTTTGCTTCACGTAGTTATACGCTTTCTCCAGCGGCCAGCCAAATTCCTTCATCGCATAGGCTATGACCGTGGAGGCGGATCGGCTGACGCCCATTTTGCAATGTACCAGGCACTTGGAACGGTTCCTCCTACCAGGGCAGGAGAGAGTGAAAAAGCTTCAACAACTTCATTTTCTCAGGTTTTACCCAAGGGATTTTTTTTTAAACCCGAGTTATCTCATAGCCCAGATCCTCCCATGTCCTGGTGTTTATGCAGCAGATGTCCACACACCCTCTAAAGGAAATACTTTGGCTGCAAAATCAATTAGCACACAATGGGAAATCGAGATAAATCTGTCTCCTTGTCCAGCCAAGTTTTGCAGGGAGAGCCCCCAAATTGGGCTGCCTTTGGGGACAAAGTGGTAGTCCTTCCACACCCTGGGATAGGCCAGGAGTCTAAGAACTCTTTTGCCTGAGGCAACTGAGTCAAGGAAGGGATAGCTGTTGAAACCACTAGCCGTTCCAGCATAGGGTGACAGCGGAGGGTGCCTGTAAAAATAAAATGGGCTCAGCAAACCTAACGCTGCAAGGCCCGGGGAGAACAAGATACTTGGAGACAGCAGGGTCCAGGAGTCCAACTTGGCCACAAGAAAGAGAAGCCTGGGAAGACAGGCTGAGCCGTCACAGGAACAGCAGCCGGCAGAGGCAGCACCTGCGAGACTTTATTTGCACAGGAGGTAGACGCCTGCCTGTTTACACCAGATGCAGCCTGCCCACCAGGTGGGAGCAGACTCACTTCTTATACCCCATGCTTAAAACGCACCCCCAGTCACAGAGCTCCCTCTCCACAACGCCTGATCTGAGTATATTCCCTGGGAATGCAAACAAAGATTTGTAAGGACATGTTATGTGGCTTTGACCTGGAGGGGTGCAAAGCCAACAATGGTGTTTCTCTTGATTGCATTGCCAAAGGTTATCTCTGTCTTGATTTCAATAAGGCAGAGTTGTTCTACAGGAGAGTAGGGTGAGGACCAAATGGGGGGGAGTCTGGGACAGGCTCAGGGGCAGGGGACCTCTGATGGTCTGTCCCTTTCCATTCAAACAGGAACACTGCACAAGTCAGGCAAGAAGGCAAGTCATGGGCAGGCCCCTCTGGGGAGCAAAGGTGCTCTGAATGCCAGGCCCTTCCTCTTCCTCCTTCAGCTCAGCAACTCCCAAGAGTGTCCACTTGGGGTCAGATTCTCACCTGCAACCAGTGTTGATGGCAAAACGGGGTGTCAAATGTCACAATAAGCTCATTTGTGGCCCCCACGCGGAGAAGATCAACAACCTGACCCCTCTGGTGTTTGCGGTGCTGGGGTCTAAAATAAGGGCCATCAGACATCAAAGCCTCCTCAAGCCAGGAGCCTTGTCTGGGACTGCCATTAATTTCTGCCCTCCCGGCATCTGCCAGTTTTTCCCTGTGTCTTTGGTTTCTCCTCCCACTTACTTGGCTTTGTTTATAAAATGGTACGCTTCGTTCCAGTGGGCAAGGAGGTCTGTTGTTTCTTCATCGTAGACTCGGATGTTATGATATGCAAATAGGCCAGGAAAAAAATTGTCTATTTCTCTAGTGACATTTAAAATGTAGTCAACACTGTGATGGGAAAAAAAGAAAGAACAAATCTGGAGAATGAGAACAAGGAACTACAAGAAACGAGTGACAAAAAAAGTTGGGTAGAGAAAAATTAAGTCCACATTAACAGACTACATGGTTATAGTGGGACTTTCATTTTTCCTAATAATATATTTTGTGTATATTCTAAATGTCCTCTATATGGTGAGAATAGCAAATTTATAATTAAAAAAAACCACTTGAGACGTTTTCTTTCTAAAAGAAAACTCGGTTCAAATGTTGTTAAGCAGTGTCAATTTTGGAAAGTAAATGTAAATATCAAATGCACCTTCAAATTTGCTTAAAGTTTCAAAATTCATAACTATTATGAGTATACAGAGGCTTGAGAAATCAAAGTCTCCACTTTTAAATAGTTAAAGAGCAAAATATAGCCATTCATTATTTATGCCCTTGGGAAGTGACTTAAATCCTTGTTGAAACAAGGAAGACTGTAAACAAATATTTGAGAGGGTCTGCTAACCCAGGTTCTGTAGTTCTCTAAACTTAATATTTATATTCCTGGAAGACCATTTAAGGAGTTATAAAATACCTCAAATAGAGTTCATAGAATACTTAAAAATGCTTTTGAAATAAGTACTTTTAAAAATTATTTCCAGCACAAGAGAAAGCATCAGACAGTAGCACCCTACATTTTAAGAATACTTTCTGTTGGAAGAACACATCTTAACCAGTAGTTCTAAAGATATATTTTAAGATTTGTTTAGTCTTGACTTTCAAATGCAGTAATTCAAGAATGCCAACATGTCAGATTCACAGAATGGTGATTTTGTGGTTGTATTGGTTTAAAAAAAATGTCCAGACATCTGTTCTTGAAGGTCTAGATTTAAACATTTTTTTTTTTTTTAATTCCTGTTGCTGAGTATTTCTCAGACTAAGGAAGCCATATGTTTCTGGCCAACACTGAGGATTTGGCTGCAAGACTCCCACCAGGCTCACAAGTATCATCTCAGGTAGAACCGGGCTAGTCCGGGGATCAGAGCTGCTGCCTGCCCAGAAGGTAGGACACGTGTCCCCAGGACTCTGTCAGCTCTACAGGGCAGGGGGCAGTGGGAGGGGCTTGTGGCCCTAGCAGCACCGGGCTGTCCTATACCATTTGAGTGTGATTTTAAATCATTCTCCCTAACACAAGCCATCACACAAAACCCCAGAAAATCTAAAACTCCATGAATTATTCAGGATGTGGCATTTTGAAGCACATCTGTTTAGTTATGCAAATCAGCCGGGCAGCAGCCCCAGGGTGCTGGCGGTCACAGGCAGGCTGCAGGAGGGCTTGCTTGCTCGGAACTGGGGGTTTCTATGCTGCCGGAAAGGAAGAGGGAAGACAAGGGGCGCAGACTCACCCTGAGCCCTGCAGTTCCTCCAGATTGGATGCATTCCATTCAGAGCCCTGGGGGACAGATCACACAAACCCCATAAGTGTCACATGTTAGCCTCAGCTGCTCACTGAATGCAGTGTGCCCTAGGCCTGATGTTGATGGTTAGTCTGAGGTGCTTGGCCACAGAGAAGTGGATATCAAAGCCAGCTCCCAAGGCATTCACACTATGTCGGCATTGGTGTGGAGGCCCTCACCAGCCCCCTGGCCTCCGGGGAGGAGTAAGTTCCAGAAAACCTGCTCTCTGTCTCAGCTCTTCCTTTCCTAAGACCCCAGTAGGGTCCTGTAAGCAGGGCCAGTGACCTCTGACCTCCCACACAGGAGAGGACACTTTCACTCGAATTAAAGCAGATACCAAGCGACTTCTGTGGCTTCCCTTTCAGCGATATTAGAAAAGTTGCCACCCTCTGACCTAGCAATTCTACTTTCAAAAAGCCACCCTGAGGAAGTACCCAGAATTTGCAAAGGGATTTGTGTACAAGGATATTTGTGGCTATTTATGGGAACAAAACTGGAAACAGCTCAAAGATCCAACAAGAAATTGGTAAAATAAATGATGGTGGATCCATAAGATAAATTGTACTTTTGGAGGTTCTTGAATGACACGGGGAAACATCACATAATGAAAAAGACTTTTCTTAAAACAGCAGAACACAATCTATATACCCAACATACAGATAACTATACATGTGTAACTACATATAACTATATATAAACCATATATATAGTATATGTAACTAAATTTATATAAGCTATATATATATATGGTTTCTTTCCTTTTTAAGAAGCTATAGACTCATTAAAAAAAGCAGATGGGAAAATACCATCTGAACACACCAACATATTAACATTTGACAACTTCTAGATTTGTGAAGCTGGGAATGCTTTTATTTTCTTCTTGAGACTCACTTTTATATTCTTTTAACTTCTCATAGCATGTTTTTAAATGTTATTAAAAAAATGACAAAAAATTTTCTGGGCATGCGAACAACACAGGAAGGGAAAAAACGGAAGAAACAATATTGCTTTGCACTTAGGACATGCAAACGAAGACTCACCAAGAGCACTGACCCCTGCCTAAGTGTCCCCATACACTCCCTTTCCTGAGAGGGGACCCCTGGATGCAGTGACTACAGGGGCCCTGACGCAGCTGGCAGTGCGGGTGCGAGCTGGATTTTCATACTTGAGGGAGAGGCTCAAACATAAAAATTCCTTTAGTATCTCTCATGGAAAAAGTGACATAAAGCACCAAACCATACTGAAAACATAAGGACAGCGCCACTAAGGCTGTGACCACCACCTAGTGGAGAGACAGACAGGAAAGTTGTTCCCACACAGCTTCCTCTAGATAGACTTCACTCATCTCTGCATACGCTTCCCCTAGATGGGTTTCACCCACCTCTGCATATGCGTGCATGCATGTTAGATAATATATGCACACATGTGGATTGATAAGTGGAAATGCATTAAATATATATTTATGTCCTCTCTTTAGCATGTTAAAAACCTATCATGACGTCTTGGAGAATTACCAATGACTTCCAACAAAAATTGGAAGAAACAAGATCGTCATGCCTTCAGCAGCAGACGCATTTGCTCAACTTTCCCAGCAAGTGATTTCTGCTCTGATGAGGACCCCCATTATTAGTGCCTCGGAAACTGCACCCAGTGCTTAAAGACATACTGTACTTAATCCTCGCCATCACTCCAGGAGGGATCAGGTGACTCATCCAAAGAAGAGAAGACAAAGACTCGCTCTAGTCACGCTGCTGGCTGGGCTGGGGAGCGGGGACTTGGCCTGGTGGGTCTGATTTCCATCACACCATGCTACCTCTCTAATTTTAGTAACATGCCTGCCTTGATAGTCTTTGACTTTGAAACCTTGCCAGTTGCCTTCTATGGTGATTTACAGCATTCAGAAAATCTGAGCGAGAGATGGAGAGACCTGCGTGGCCTGCTCGCAGCTGCAGCATCAGGACGATTCCTGCCAGGCCCTGGGGGCCCTGACATAAGCAGCAGCTGCCGGAACAAGCTCGGAGGCTGCATTTCAGGTGAGGGATCTGTTTCAGGATGCCCAGGCATAGTGGATTTTAGCCCACGTGGAGGTAACTGGATGGGACTTCAGGTGTTCGGGACTGAAGGTGACAAAGGCCGGGGGAGAGTCTGAAAATGCTGCCAGTGATAATGCCGAAGAGCTTTCAAACAACTCCCCTCGGTTCAGCTGGGAGCCACATCACAGAGAGAAGGGGGTCAAGAGGGGAGTCCCCGTGAAGAGTCAGGCTGTAAAATTCAAGTGTTCCCTCTCTGACTTACAAGCTTTAAACAACCGAGTCTGACTTATGTTCCCCAAACCAGACCCTGCCACATGCTGAGCCTCTTACGAGATAGAGGTGATCGAAGATAAGGGAGGGCTTGTCCATCTGTCCCAAGATAAGCAGCATCTCGTTGTCTATGAATTCCTTGAATTCTTTCAAGTTACAGTTCATCTGTTTTTCTAATTCATTACGGATCTGTGGAATGGAAAATATTAGGAAATATGATCTGTTAAAGAGAACAGCTGTCAACTGCAAAGTAGTCACATCACAACATAAATTCCCCATGTTTTCAAAAAAGGTCCCTTCCCCCAGCCCCCGAATAAGCACATGTCCATTAAGACACAGAACAGAAGTGCAGGTGGCTGGACCCAGTCTCAAAGGCAATTCGACTGGGGGAAGCTTATTATTATTATTTCAAATCCAAAGCTGACTTCCACGGGACCTTTCCTACTGAGTCTAAAGCACTCACCCTTTTACAATTATGTATCAAACATACCACAGTGAAAAGCTAAAATTGCTTTGGAAGTAAAAAGCTAAAATCACACCACAGTATTTTCTAAGTGCATAAATAAATAAAACAATTGCATATGACTTTTCAACTGACAATTTCAACCTCCTAGATCTACCTAGTTTAGGCTGTTACAATTCTTTGCTTGAAAAGGAACCAAATCAAGAAAAAAAAAAAAGTGATTCAGAGAAATATGAAAAGGCAGGTGAAAGACAGTCCAGGGTTAATAACATGCTTGTAAGTTATGATCCGAGAGAAGTAAGAAATTTTCGCATTTCGATTAAAACACATGGCAAGGTGGGGCTAGCAGGCAATCTATGGGTCACCTGCAATTCTCAGCAAAGGTCTTACAGGCTCAGAGAGGTCAGGAAAGTTGTCCCAGGCCACACAACTGGTAGGCAAATGGGATCCAAAGGAGATTCTGACTCTAAGGCCCACGCTTTTTTTGGCCAAGTCCCACTGCTATTTAAAAAGGAGGCAAGCTCCCCGGTGGCGCAGCGGTTGAACGCTGGGTTGCGAAGCTGCCCGCGGCCTCTGCGGCGCCGGTTCGATCCCCGGCTGCTCCCCGGCCACCGGAGGAGGGTCCCACATGGCGCGCGGACCTCTCCTGCCGCCCGCTGCTCCCCTCAGCAGTGTACTTCGGTCCTTCTGCCTGCTCTGTTCTCCGCTCTGGCTCTGGTGAATTCTCTCGCCCTCCCGCGCTTCTGACTGTACCCAGTGCATGTATAAACAAAAACAAAAAAAACAAATAAAGAAAGAAAGAAAGAAAACATGCCTCTATATAAAAAAAAAAAAATAAAAAGGAGGCAAGGAAAAGGCTGGGAGCAGGTGAGCCCAGTGATGAAGAACAGCAGGTGCTGGGCCTGTGCCCGTTAAGCTTTGGGCAGCAGGACAAGTGACTGCCTTGTGGCCTGTGGCCTGCTGAGAAGGCTAGAGTTATCTTACTTCTTTGGAGGTCACGTTTTCTAGGTCCTGGCTCATCATGATGCTCCGGAGTTTAGCTTTGATGAGGCGCTCGGTCCTCTCCCCTTCGGTTGGCCTGGAGAAAATCGCATTTAGGGAAACACAGGGCTCTCAGAAGCCTGAGATCAGAGCTGACCGAAACACCAGATGCTTCTGGGTTAAACGGAACCCCACTTGAGCACAGAGCTCACTTGGACGTGTTCTCAGCGGGAAGGGGAGTCCTGCTCTGTGTCTAGAACCCCCAGGAGTCAGCAAAGTGGAGAGTGGATCATAAGGACAAACACTGGTTGGCAAGCATGTCCCTCACTGTGGACCTGCAGAGTACCAGATCCCAGGGTGGGATGCCCGAAGGGCCAGCAGGCCTGGCAATCTCTGTCAAGGATGTTCCTGCAGCCGCAAGGCCCAGCTCCCAGGACCTCCCAACACCAAAGCCCTCTCTATGTATTCTCCCTCCCTCCTATCTATGTAAACTCCCTTCCACCCACCTCAGCTTCTGAACATCAGCCCTAGTTCTCACTGGAGGCCACATGGACTAGGATGACCCTTCTTCCACAGTTCCCCTTCACATCCTCAAAGGCGACCAGCATTTCTCCCCAGCTGGCTTGTAATTTCTGAGGCCCTGCAGCATGTGGCTTCTGGTCCTCTTCTGGCTCAGGCTGCTCCCCTCTGCCTGTGGCCCTCTTCGTGTGCTGTGTCCCTAAATACCACACTCTGAAGGTGAGTCCCAACCACAAGAGAAGTGGGGAGCTGTCCCCTTTATCTGGAAGCATACTTTAATTCAGCGCGGCCTCAGGCCCGTGAGTTCTGCTGGGGCCACAGGACAAGTGCGGGTAGGTGCCCTTGGTCTGTGTTGGTGCAGTTGTGTTTTGGGATCCAAAGGACCAGGGAACATGTCCATGACACTCCTAAGGGTACCGGGAGAGGTTCTGGAAGCTAAGTCTTTGGCAACCTCAAGGGGACAGGCCAGACCACAGAGCCCTGCTCAAGAGCCAAAGAAGTAATGGGTCACATCTTCCACTGAGAATCTGATAGAAGTTGGGCCCTTTCCTTGGAAATGCAAGACACCCACATTTGTCAGTATTTTTAAAAGGGAGCAGTGGTCACAGACCCTCCCCCTACCAAAAAGACCATACAAGGGCAGCAGCTTAGGAGCCCCTGCTTGAGATGCTGAAACAAACCCATGGGAGAGGCAGCCCTCAGCCAGAGGAGCACAGGGGGCCTGTGGCCCTGTGTGGGGCGAGGTGGGGGAGGCATGTGGGTGAGGAGGCACTGTACTTACTTGTCCACAAACAGGGCCGGGGAGTCGGGCCGCGTGGACTCCAGGTCCTGCATGGCGTTCCACTCGTTGAGGCAGCTCTGCTCCGAGCTGATGCAGCTCTCGTAGTAGGTGGCCCAGATGAGGGCCACACCCCCGGGGAAGTAGTTGTGCCTCCGAGCGACTTCACAGGCCTTGTGAAGGACCTGCAGGGCAGACCTGGGGTGAGGAGGGGGAGAGGGTCAGGCCTGGGGGGCACAAGGATGCTTGCTGGGCTGCCCTAAAAAAGGGTTTACCAAGGGGGCAGGGGGAGGGTGGTTCAGAGACCTTCCACAGAAGGTTATGTGGGGGGCATGAGGCAGCCTGGAACTGACAGCCACCAGGCAGCAGTTACTCTCTGAAAGGCGCTCTGAGCCCAAGAGTGGACAGAACAGCCTTCACCATTGCAGAGAGGGACACCAAACAGCTTCCTAACCATCAGGCTAGCTCAGTCCTTTGCCATTCCACTGAGAACCCTGTTAAGGTTTACTTCTGTGAACAGAGGAACCACGATTAAGCCCAGCAAAGAAAAGCACCAGAAACACTTTTTGGCATGCTGAATACTCAATTTCTGACCCCCTCATCAACTCTGAAAGAGCTTAGATGCTTAGATTTCCTAAGGAAATGAGTTCTAGAAACTCATTTTAATACAGGCTGCGGGGACGGCAGGGAGCGGGGGGTGGGGGGGGGTGATGCGGGGAGGGCAGGTATGGCAGAAGAAACAATATTGAAAACATATATGGTCATGGCCAACCTAGTCATTTTTTACTTCCTTTTACAAAAATACAGACTGAAATTTCTCAGTGAATGGGCTGAGTCAGAATCAAGAAAGGGTGGAGGAACGAAGCCTTGGACAGAGCTAGAGCTGTGGAGACGGGGAGCCACGTCACGGCTCCCAATTGTACATATTTGTCCTATCTCTACGCTGGCTGAGGGAATGAAGTTACACTGAGCGTTTACTAAATTTAGCTCTGGTTCTGAAGTTTTAGAAAAACATGTGGACCTATTTTTTTATTTGCCTGTAGAGAGGGAGATAGCAAATTACCCAGGGACACGAAGAAACAATCTGAAACATGGACAGAATGATAATTTCACGATTTTCCCCAAAATGATCCAGAATTGACTGCAGTGTGCAGTGACAGAGGAGGGGGAATGGAGGGCAGTGTCAACGTATGGTCCCTGGGAGAACGCTGCAGAAGTCTCGCTGTCCCAGAGAAATGAACATTTATTTTGAAACACTGGGTGGAACTCAGTCTTTTCAGGAATCACAGCTTCCTCCTGAGTCTTTTCCAGATTACTTTCAAGATGGCTGTGTCTGTTCTTTGTCTCCCAGGTGCTCAATGCCCTGCAGAACCCAGTGCTTTCAGGGAGCAGAGGGCCTGCTGTGCCCTGGCACAAGCAAGGGAACTGGTGCCAGAATGACATTTTTACATTGTAGATATGTAAAGACAAAGTACTTTCAACAAAAACAACCCACTTAAAAGCTGACCAAAGGACTTGAAAAGACAATTCTCCAAAGAAAATACAGAAATGGCCTATTAATAAGCACATGAAATGATGCTTGACATTAATTAATTGGGGAAATGCAAATCAAAACCATGATAATAGCGCTCACACCCATTACAATGGCTATTACTTTAAAAGAAAAAAAAGGACAAACACAAGCTTTGAGGAGGCTATGGATAAACCAGAACCCTCACGCACTGCAGGTGAGGATCTAAAATGGGGCGGCTGCTATGGAAAAGTTTAGTGGCTCCTCTGAAAGTTAAATGCAGAATTTCCATGTGATCTAGAAATCCTACTTTTAGAAGTAGGATTTCTCAAAATATTAAAATATTAATATATTAATATTAAAATATTAAAAATATTAAAAATAGATGTGACACGTGATCCAGCAATTCCACCCTTCGGTATCTACCCAAAGAACTACCCACTAGTTCAAAGGGGTATATACACCCCTATGTTGGCTGTAGCACAATTTACAATAAACAAGCTATGGAAATAACCTAAGTTTGCAATGACAGATTTGTGGAATAAGATGTGACATATGCACACAAATGGAATAATGCTCAGCTATGAAAAAAGATGAACTCTTGCCATTTGTGACAACATGGATGGAACTGGAAGGGATTATGTCAAAAATGTCAAAAAGAAAAAGACAAGGGCCTCCCCGGTGGCGCAGCGGTTGAGCGCTGGGTTGCGAAGCTGCCCGCAGCCTCTGAGGCGCTGGTTCGATCCCCGGCTGCTCCCCGGCCACCGGAGGAGGGTCCCACATGGCGCGCAGACCTCTCCTGCCGCCCGCTGCTCCCCTCAGCAGTGTACTTCGGTCCTTCTGCCTGCTCTGCTCCCCGCTCTGGCTCTGGTGAATTCTCTCACCCTCCCGGGCTTCTGACTATACCCAGTGCTTGTATAAATAAATAAATAAATAAATAAATAAATAAATCTTTAAAAAAAAAGAAAAGAAAAAGACAAATACTGAATGATTTCACTCATGTGGAATAAAGAGAAATAAAACAAAGGAATAGGCAAAACTAAATCAAAACAAGCCCTAGACTATGACTGCAGAATTGAGGCTACTAAAGGGGAAGTCTGGGTTAGGACAGAAAGGGGAGAAGGAGCCCCAAGGGTTATGGTGACCTGGTAGTAGGTGTGGTAACACCCACCTGAAGAGGTGTGAACCTACACCTCTGTGATGCAAAAATAATAAAAAACTTCCACTTTTAGTGATATACCTAAAAGGACAGAAAGCAGGGACTCAAACAGATACTTTATTCCCCAGGGTTCATAGCAGCCAAAAGGTGGAAACACCCCAATGTCCATGGACAGATGAAAAGATGAAAACAAACATGGTTTATCCACACAATGGAATATTATTCAGCTTTAGAAAGGAATGAAACTCTGGCACGTGGTACAACACAGGTGACTCCTGAACGCATGATGCCAAGTGAAAGGACCCAGACAGAAATGATTCTAATCACAAGCAGTATCTAGAATAGGCAACTTCATAGAGACAGGAAGCAGAACAGAGGTTACCAGAGGCTGTGGGGAGGGGAAAAGGGAAGTTATTGTTTCACAAGTACAGCATTTCTGCTTGGAATAATGAAAAAGTTCCGGAAGGACAGTGGTGATGGCTGTATTACATCATGAATATACTTAATGCCCCTGCATGGTACACTTAAAAATGGAAAAATAGGGGCCTCCCTGGTGGCACAAGGGGTTAAGATGCAACCTATGAAGCTATCCGTAGCCACTGCAGCACAAGTTTGATTCCTGGCCAGGGAGCGATCCACATGGTGCAGCAGACCTCTCCTGTCTCGCCCGCTGCTCCCCTCCGCAGTGTATTTTAGTCAGTCTGCCTGTTCTGTTCCCCACTCTGTCTCTTGTGCATCCTCTCACCCCCCACCCACACCTCTGGCCTGTACCCCAGTTCTTGTATGCATAAATAAAATAAATCTTTTAAAAAAATGGATAAAATAGTAAATTTTATGCTACATATATTTTGCCACATATACAAAATTGGCACATCTACATGAGTTTCCAAGTAGAAGAGGGTTTTTCTATATATTCTTGTTGGCTAGGAAAGTGTTTCTAAGGAAATAAGGTCCTTACTTACCACATGGCCTGGACGGACACAGGCTTAAAGACATGCATCCTTCCTGCTGTGCTGACGCTGAATCCGCTGGGAATGAAAAGCAAAGAGAAAGACACTGTGGTTAGAACTGCTGCTGACTGGTCACCAAGGACCCAGGAGCAGGCCCAGCGTGGTACCCAGGGCCTGAGTGTCTCACACTGTCTGGTGAGGGCCTACAGGCCTGCTGCCTTGGAGACAAGGTAAAGCAAAAGAGCCAAGATAAGCTCTCAAATCTGTAAGACCTGCTTTTAACTCAGCAGTGCCAGGTATTCCAGACACTAAAATCCGCTAACGGGTGGAGGCAACGAGGGCATCTGAACCACCATTTACCTTGGTTCAGGCAGCAGCCCTACCCCACCTGCTACCTCCCATCCCCCACCTGCTATCTCCAATCCCATCTATTTGCTTATTTATTTATTTTATAATTGTATGGAGACTGTATCAGTGGAAGACAAAATTTAAAATGGAAAGCTATAACCACAATTCTGCTTCTTCAATCCAAATTTTATATCCCCCCTCCCAGTTTTATGAGGCAACAGGACCTTCACAGATGGACACCGAGGGTGGGGTCAGTTTCCTGTCCTGCTTCTTCCACTCACCCTAGTATCTTTGTCCTCCCTGCCAGGGGAGAGGAACCTGATGGCCCCTCATCCCATCCACCTGTTAAGGGGCTTTCCTTACCCGTCTCCATCAAGGTGGATCTTTGTGTCGCTCCAAAGTCGAAGAACCATCCCGATGGTGCAGCTTTTACTGCTCGGTAGGAAAGAAGAGGGTCCAGAGTCAGGGCCTACCCTCAGGCATGCAATCCGTTCCCTGTCTCCCCCAGAGGGCCGAGCTGACAAGGGTGACCACCCCCTGCCTGGTTGCTGTGCATCTTAGGTTGTCTGGGTAGGGGCCTCTCTCCACTGAATTCCAGAAGACACAGGTCTGGGATGGCCCCACTACAAGGAGCTGCCACAGGATCCTTTAGTGGGGACAGTCACAGGCTGCTCTGACCCCTTCACTAGGTGTGGACGTGGCTCCGTGAACACCGGGTCTCAGCTGCAGCTCTCAGGAGATGGGGTAATCGGCTAACTGTGCAACCCACTGCAGCAGAGGTGAAGCCACAGATGGGTGCACATAGGGCACAAGGCCACCCTCACTCAGGGGGACACAGGTGCCTGGAGTTCACTTCCTGTAAAGACATGCATCCTAGTCCAAAAGCCTAGTCTGCTTTTGCTTTGCCCATCCTAAACATGAAATGATACTATCGATTTTAGAGGCTGGCACCGCTGAAAAATACAGAGGGAAAGACAAGGCTTTATCAGAAGGTCTCCTTACATTATTGCAAAAATTCTTCAGGCATTTAAAAAACAGTCAGCTTGTGAGGAGCTGCTGTCACCATGCCAGGGGCCAGCTCTGCCCACCTCCAGGAATCTGGAGTTTGCATTTCTGCTTCCACTTAGCAGTGCCCCTAGGGAGCAAGGCTAGGTGTGCCACCTTGCAGACCGAGTGCCCTGGGCTCCGGACCAGCCCCTGTGTCTGTGGGGAAGGTAGTGAGTTCTCCAGGTGATGTCAGAAAAAGCCTCCTGTGAGGCAAATCCCCAAGCCCCACCCACAACCCCACCCCTCCTTCTCAGGCCAGTTGTGTTTCCTCTGTTGAGCTGAGAAATAACATTTCCACTGAGACTCAGAGCTCCTGAAGCTTGTTGGCTAGGTCAGTGCTATGGAGAAACGATAAGGTGGGGGGCCCCTCAGAGCCCCAAACCGACATGCGGACAGTCCAGGTCCCGGGGCGCCCAGAACAAGTGGGCAGGCCGGGGAGACGTGCCCTCCTCAGCACTGATGACTCCTGCCCAGGACTGGTAATATGGGAGGAAATAGCGCAGAGCTCCAAAGGGCAGAGATGGGGACAGAGGCCCAGGCCAGGGCAGAGGGCGTCCTCCTGGCAGGCAGAGGCTGAGGGGGCCAGCTTGACACTGTCCACAGGAAACGGGTAGCATCTAACCAGCCTCCCCTAAGCGCAGACAGGCAGAGCCAGGCGAGGGCTACCCGCCGGGCAGACATCCACATCCACAGAGGACTGGCACCCTCGGTCTCTGCCCGAGTCAGGAGCAGGGACTGGGGACCATGATGTGCCTGTGACAACTCTGAAAATTCCAGAACGCCCCCTGATGTGTGACTCTGTGAGTTTCGAGCAGTCCTACAGTGTCTGCATCAAAGGCAGGCTGGTGAGTTCTCACGCAGGGGAAGCAGAGAGCACGCAGTAAGGGAAATGGGGGGGGGGGGTGGTGGTGGTGGTTCTTAGAGGAAGAATGACCTGAAGGGTAAAGAAGGTGAGGGTGATGGCAGGACAAGAACATTCCATCCGGAGCCCTGAAAGATGGAGAAGAGAGGCCTGCACTGGGACTGGAGCCTGCGGGACCCAGGCTGCATGGGGTGCTGAGTGTGAAACACCAGCGAGCGAGCATGTGTGCTCCTAGGCTCGGTGGCCCTGGGCCTAAACAAGAACCCCAGACGGGGTGTGGGGGGTAGCTGAGCCGCGATCCCCAGGAAGTGAGGATGCAGAACTCTGAAAGGGACTGAGAGCCGTGGCCAGTCACCTGCCCAGCCCTCTCCAGACACGCTGTGGTCTCCCCGGGGGGCCACTGAAGTCTGTGGGGGGCAACGATCCCCTCTCGCTATCTCTTTCGAGTTCTCTCTTTTGGAGTAAGGAAACAAAATCTCAGGCAGGAATTTAGAAAAACAAGCCTATCTTGGTCTCAGCAGACCAAAGGCTGCAGGAGAAGCCAGGAGTTGTTTGCAAGCCAGGGTGAGTAGAGCACAGCAGCGTGGGAGCTGCAGAAAGGCCTGCCCCAGCACCCCCTCCATGTGAAGAGGAGAGCTGTCTCAGACCCCCGCAGGGAGGTCCACCTTGTTTCTGGTCCCCTGCCCACTCTCTGCCACCCTCCACCCACCTGCCCTACCCCGGCACGCCAGCTCCAGCCTGGGCTACTGGCTGCACACAGGCTGTGGCTCAGGGTTGGAGAGCAGCAGGGATGCTGGCTTGAGAGCCAAGTGAATGGTGGAGGCCAAGAGGACCCAGGGGCAGGGGCCCCAGGGAGAAATGGAGCCCCGCGCCAAGGGGAGGCAGAGGCTGGGTTCTCTCCCTGGTGTGGGCCCCCACCCTGCCAGGGCCCCAGCACAGGGATAGTGCCAACAAGCGCACACATGGCAGGTCTCGAAATGAGTTGCTGGACAAGGGGTATAGAGGGGAGAGGGAAAGAATGAGCAGGGTCCAGGCTGTAGGGCCACAGTTACAGCTGCTGACAGTGGGACCAAGCACACCAGCCTCCTGAGGCTCTCATCTCTGAAAGGAGTTAGGGCACCTCCTTAAGTTGCCTCACAGGGCAACTTACGGGTTCAATGAGACATTTTGGGAGCACTCTGTTAAGTGCACTGCACTCTCCAACTAAAGCAACAGGAACAGCCAGAGAAGGGACAGCCAGCCAGGAGCCACCAGCAGTTGAGGCTGGGTGGGCTGCCGTGGAGGGAGGAGGCTTGAGTTTAGGATCAGGTATGGGACGGGATCCTCCGTGGGGAGGGAAGCCCTTGGCACAGAAAGAATCCAGACAGGCTGGAAAATCACTAGAAGAACAAACCTAAACTGCGACTCTGTTGAACACTAAATGCTTCTTTGCATCCCGGCCAAGCTAACAAGGACAAGAAGACGGGGTGCTGCCCTGTCTGACAGCATCTGCCTGCTAGAACCTCCATGGGAAGCCCCCAGCCCTCCATCTCCACGGGGCTTGGCAGAGCCCACCTGCTCAGACAGACCAGATTTCCAGAGCAGCCCCAGGCCTAGACGCCAGCTCCGACTGGCCTCCTGGAGTGTGCTGCAGTCAGCTTTCCTGCTGCCACACGCACGGGCAAGAAAGTCGCCAGTGAAAGTCCTCCCTTTCTGTCCATTTACTTGTGACAAGCAAATGAGTCCTAGTGGCTGGCGAGTGACTCACAGCGGTGCTCTCCCTGAGCAAGGCAAAACGGTCACCATGCCACCCAGCCACTGACTCAGTGACTTCCTTGCTGTCAGTTCTGCCTGAAAGGCCCTTCAAATGCACCGCCCTGCTCTGGCCCCACCCCTGAATTTGCCCAACTGCCCACTGGTCATTGAAGACAGCTTAGTCATCGCAGGCTCCTGAAGCTGTGCTAGGCCACTCCTCTCCTGTGTTCCCCAAGCCTCTGTTCGTCTACTCCTCATGGAGCTGATCACCCAGGTGCCCAGCTGTGGCTTTCTTCCTCGCTAAGTTCAGAGGCTCCTTGAGGTCGAGACTGGTGTGTACTGCTGCTTCTTTGTTAACCTGGGCCCAGCCTATTGCCTCATACATGGGAGAATGCAAATAAATTGTTTGCTTAATGAATGATGAATTAAGGGAGTCTCCTTTAATCCAGTTTTAACAAACCCTGGTTTTGCAACAATCTCACATGCACTAATTCACCCTAGATGTTAAAAAGCTGTTCGCCCTCAATTCACACACACAATAAGGGCTAAGATATAAAGAACTTGGCCTCCAGTTAGTGGGAAATTCTAAACCTCTCTTAATATCTCCTCAACAAGTCCTGGGGAATCCACAGAATATTAATGTGGGATGAGGCTCTTGAGAGGGTGCCATCAATCACACACTCCACACAGGCCCATCTGTCTCTAGGGAGTCCTCTCTATTTCACTTGGTTGGCTCCTACTCATCCTGGGGTTTCACCACAGCCGTCACCTCCTCCAGGAAGTCCTCCTGGTTATAGAGCCCTCTTCTATTTTAACCCTGACAGCACCAGTGTTAAACCTCTCAATGTAACATCTCTGGCCTCTCAGAAGAGCCTGGGATGAGAGCAGAGACTGAATCTACCACAGTCCCAGCACCTGGGAGCTGAAATGGCGTGATTGGCAGTCCCCACTGCCTGATCACCACCTACCACCCACCATCACACATCCCACTGTCCTCCCCTGGATGGAAGGAGCATGAAAACCCCTTTCTAACAGCAATTCTTGCCCTGATGGCAGAAGGGAACCAGATCTCATCAGACTTACCTTTCCTTACTGGAAAAGTCGACTCCCAGCAGGATGCTCTCTTCTGTATCCTGGCGTCCGCTGCTGTCCACCACCACCATGTACCGGACCCGCTCCGCCCAGGCACTCTCCAAGCGCACGGCCTAGACAGGCAACAGTGCTCTCACTGGCTGCCCTTCAGGGTGGGGGCCCTTCCTTTACCAAGTCAAGAGGAACTTCTGCTTTCTACCCTCCCTGCCCCTGGTGAGTTTAGGGATTAAGATGAGATTCTTACAAGCAGGCGCCAAGGCTTGTTTATATCCCCAGCATGAGGGCCAGTGCCTGGCTTGGAGGGGCCCCCAAAGTTTGCTAAATGGGTAAGCAAATAAAAATCCACAGAATGAAGATTCCAACTCAGGACAGACCAACAGTGAGACATGATCTTTTCTCTGGATCTTCTGGGTTCAGAGGGAGGACAATTTGGAAGAATATGCTAAGATGCAAGAGCTGCCCCTGCCCCAACTCCCCACCCATTGCTCATGCATAACTCCCTACCAAATTTCACAATTAAAAATTAAAACTTGCCACTCTCATCTCTTCTTACCAGCTTGATTCTATCTTCACAACGCAGGAGGTTGATCATTACTTGAAGGTGTTGGGGCAAGTCACCTGTTGAATCAATGAGGGAAACTTTAAAAGGTCTCCCACCTTTTAAAACAGACAGAAACCCACGAGCAGCTGATTTGAAGGCCCTGCTTGTCAGCACCTCGCCCCTCTCAGCTGTCCTCTCCCAGGAGGCCACAGGGTAAAGCTCCCCACGCTAGTGCTAGAATAACTGGAGGCAATGGTTCCCTTTCCTCTGCTTTGCGACTCCCCATGTCAGGTCACCGATGACACCACAGCGGTTCTGTGTCTGCCCGGGCCCCACCACCCTTGTTCTGAGTCAGAGAGGCAAAAACAATCCCCTTTGTCTATTGAGTGCCTGAATGAAAGGGACCTTCTCCACACACACTCCTTTCAGTGGGCTTGTCTGTGGAGTGTGGAATTGCTGACAGACAGAAATCCCAAGCCCTGTCTGCCATCCACACAATGTCACTATATGTTGAAGTGTTCACTAAGCATTTGCAGAAAAAATCAGAGTGCACAAGCCTAAAGTACAAGCCCTAGAAAGACTGAGTGACAAGGCTGGCTGGAACAGGTACTCCTGCATGGACAGAGTCACCCTCGTCTCAGCTCTGTCTGGTGGCTGCAGGAACTGTGCACGTGATGGAAACTCTAGGTGAAAACTCTAGGTGACTTTATTCTAAAGTCAAATCTGAGCCTGCCCCAGGGTGGTTTACATAGCATCCTTGCACAGCTGGCCACCTTCCGCCTCTGGGAGCTCCCAGACCATTCCAGATGCAGAAGCAGAAGCAAGCCAGGCTCTCCTCCTGCTCCTGCCGGAGAAGCACGGGCCAGTCTGACTCTGGGTTTCTACAGAATGGTTTTGCACTTACTTCCCCAAGATTTCTCACAGGATGAAAATGTTCTTTGAATTAGAGGAAGGAGATGTTTTATACTTAGTGAACAAAGCTTGAGCATTCGTTTGTTGTATGTATTATGGTTAAGACGTGAACAATAATTCAATGCCTAAGGGGGCAGTACCATGAGCAAAGAAGAGAGTGTTTATAGTTTTATTGTACTAAACGTCATTGTCCTAATAACGGCCGCTACCACACATCCAGCACTGATGAGGAGGCAAGCATATGACTGGCATAAATTTAAACCCCATATCCTCCAAGGGTGGGAATCTGGTGCACAGTGGATAGGAATGGGAGGCTCAGCAAGCTGCCCATGACCCTTGGGGAGCTGCAGTCCTGGGACCAGAAGCCAGGTCCCTGTGACTGCAAAGCAATCTGTCTTTCCATAAACCCCTCAGCCTCCTGGGGCAGGACAATTATTTCCTTAGCTTAAAGCAGACCTAAATTTGATTATAAATATCAGAATATGAGAAAAGATACTGAGTCTTGGTGTTTGCTGTCAATGGCTAAGACACAGAATTCTAACCGAGGCACTCAGGTTTAACATGAGGCTGATGACTTGAGGGGAAACCAACAAAAGGACCAAAAGTGACAAGAAACTGGGCTCCGCTGCAACCTGCTGTCACCTGTGGCTCTACGGGGAGGGGCCTCCCCAGGTCGCCTCGAGAAGTGTCCCAAAGATCCACTTTACACAAATGATTTTTTTAATTCCTCTTTTCAAACTGCCATTGGTTTCAAAGTCAAGTCACCTAAGAAAACTAGCCTCATTACAGGCATTTCTTAGTTGTTTGCTTTTGGACCTAAGTCAGTAGGTTTGAGCCCTACTTCACCACCCCTGCTACTTCCCCAAACCAAAGCCACCATTAAAGAATAAAGCCTCCTGCCCCCACAGTGCACCCCAAAGGCTTCTGAAGAAACGCCCCGATGAGCAGAGAAGTAACAGGGTCTCCAGGGCCCCCAGCCAGGCAGACAGCCCCCCACAGGGTAATTTTCAAGGGGACAACATCTGGCTATGACACATTCTGGTGCCTAGTTAAAAAGACAGCAACTTAAAATCCGCAGTTAACTGACCAACTGTGAGCAGGAAATCTTTCCATCCAAACAGAGTGTCCCTCATTTCTTGTGTAGACATGTGTGGTCAGAAGGAACAGAGTCCCCACTGCCACCCGGGAAGTGTGAGGCCCGCCCATGTCTGCTTCAGATAAGAGCTTGATCAGCACCAGTCCTTACAAACCCATCCCCACCCCGTTTCTCTGGCCTTGAAAAGCAGCATGACGCTCCCCGCAGTAGCAGAAGGTGCCTCGGTCACACAGAAAGCAAGTTCTGGTGTGAGAAACGTGGGTTTACCTGCATGCTTGTGGGGGTGCTGAAGACTCCGCTGGCCTTGAGGGCTGTTTCCCTGTTGTAAGAAGAGGGCTGCTCCTTTCACCATGAAAAAGCTCTCACTTAAGCTGGAAAGAATAAAACCAGAGTAGTTAGGCTGGAAATCAGAGGACAGTGGGCAGTCACCAGGAAACGCTGGGAAGCCAAGGAATGGCACGTGAGAATCAAATGGGACAAGATTGCTCCTACACTGTCATTTCTCAGCGTTCTCCCCAAGCTTGGCCACACGCTTACTGCTGGAGTCTGAGTGATGAAATAACGCTTCTGCTCAAACACCCTGGGTTCTATGCGCCTCTGCCGGGGCCAGGAGTCCCTTCCTATAGGGTACATTAAAGGGACGTCACTGTAGTACAATAATTTCTAAAAATAGAGGACAGGTCTGATAGGGAGCCGTGAGTCACTGTGTGCATGCTTCATAGTGTGACCTTTGACCTTTGTTTCTAACTCCCTCCTTTGCCTACGTCACTGCTTCCTTCCCTCAAGGTAATAATACCAGGAGAGGATGAAAGGATCCTTTCACTAATTCTTGCATCTTAAGAAGAGCAGGTGGCTGTTGACCTGTGACTTGACATCGTCAAGGTCGCTGTGTCCACTACTTCTGCAGAAACCGTCCAGTTGAGCCAACAAATTTCTCAGCAGAATGAATCTTTGTGGATTTTTTTTTTCCTTTTTGGTTGTTATTTTAACTAACAATGACATTCACATTCAACCTAAAGATTCTTTTAGTTACAATTAATGATTTGGCTATCAAAAAGATCTTTAGCTTATACAGAAAGTAAGACTAATGAAAATGAAATCCTCAGATATTAATTGCTACCAATCATTCAAAAGTACTATCAATGCTGAAGATTACCCATAAAATACCAACATGATGGCAGGGTTTTTCTGGGGGGGTGGAGTATCACATGTGATCATTTTCTTTGTATTTCTTACTATCTCTCAAATGTCTCAATAGAGCAAATATTAATTTTTAAGTGATCATTTTTTGTTTGTTTTTCAAACTAATATAAAACATACATGTTATGATGGGAAAATTTTATTTTCATTAATTTGGTGAAAGAAGATGACAGTTCAATTTACATGGAACTGCAAAAACCACTTATCTTCTCTTAAGCACCCAATTAACACACGATAAACTTAAAGAGAAAAATCTCTAAGAAAAAGCAACACTTTTCTCCTGTTTTAATGGAAAGCAAATCAACTCCTGAAATACAAGGATGTCTTCAGGAATGTGAAAAAAACAAGATCACCTTTGCCCCAGATACCTAATACAAGTAGTCAGACATTCTCATCCTGGAGAAAAACATTCAGCTGAGTCTAGTACCTAATTCTAGGAGCTAAGAAATGCACCAATGACCTGGCATCTAAGTCAACAGTTCCAGGAATCAGCAAAACGATGATCTTTTTTCTATATTATTAAGTCCACTTTGAAATCTGTTCATTTTTCTGGGTGAATTCTCACGCTAAAAAGAGTGACTGCTGGGCCTCCCTGGTGGCGCAAGGGGTTAAGACACAACCTATGAAGCAGTCCGCAGTCATCACAGCATGAGTTTTCAATGCCCCGGCAGGCCAGGGAGCTGACCCACATGGCACAGCAGACCTCTCCTGACTCGCCCGCTGCTCCCCTCAGCAGTGTATTTCACTCAATCTGCTTATTCTCCTCCCCACTCTGCCTATGGTGAATCCCCTCACCATCCACGCCTCTGGCCTGTACCCCAGTTCTTCTATGCACAGATAGATAGAGCTTTAAAAAAAAAAAAATAGTGACTGCTCAGATACCAAATAAGCAGCCTGGGTTCTGCCTCTCCAATTCTGGACTTTGAATCACTGACAACCGGTTTTGTATGTTTCATAATACCGATACTTTACATCCTCCTGGTCCTATTTTTGCCAGTGGACAGCCAGCTCACCCTCTCCACTATTAGTCATATATTTGCTCTGCAAGTTTCAAGTGCTAAGGAGCCAGGATTATAAATAATGGAGGAAATGAGAATCATCTCTGTTCTGCAATCTCTCTCACCCGCCAGTGACAAAAAGCTCTTTAGCACCCATTTGAGCAACTAAAGTTCAGGTCATCTTATGCAGAGTCACCCACCATTTTTCTACCCCTAAAACTCATCACCCTTACCTTCCTTAAAAGCTGATGACTAAGTTTGTTTTCAGAACTATTTGGTTTTAGATAGACACAGGTCACTTCCTACTTATTCTCATCAAAACCTGAAAGAGCTACAAGGGACTCCAATACCCATGAAGTGTATATGAGCAATCAGATCATCCAAACTGCTGGGGCAATCTTTGCAAGGCAACAGCAACCTCTTTTGTTCATGAGTTATTAACAAAAAAGCAAAAAAGAACAAGAAAGAGTCCATACTGACCAGAAACCCTAATGCTCTGGAAACAACCAGCCATGAATGATGACCTTTGCCTTGGAAATCAGGGGCAAAAATTCCCCTTGGTTTCCCTTACATTTCCTTTGGAAAAATTTTTTTGAAAAAGGAACAATGCAAAAGAACAGGCCGGTTTTATCCCTGTTCGCTCACAAGGCTGGTTGTTCCTCTGTGTTTCTGAGGCTGATGAAGAATCAGAGCTCCCAGCTACACACGGAGTCAGGGGTTGCACCCACAGGGGTCGGGACACTTCACCTCTGTTCCAGGGCGACCAGCAACCAGCAGCACAGGACTGTGTGCCGCGGGCAGCCAGGGGTGCGTAAGCAGGAGGATAACCACACAGGATGACTTGGGGCCGAGAGGATTTATGAAAACGAGCCACAGATATTCCTCATGACCCCATTTCCTGTCTTCTGTGCTGAGCTTGCTGCAGGCCCAGGCCCACTGGTGAGAGCGCAGTCCTGCTGCTAGGGCTGGGGGGCTCTGCACCTAACAGGGAGCAGTGCAGCCCCCACTCACCAGCCTCTCACAGTGCCGTGGTGGGGAAGTCCTTTATGCAATCCGTGTTGGTGATGGCACATTTCCTGGCCCTGAGAACCTAGTAGCGCAAATCCACAAATCGCCCTTCTCAGCACCCAGGATGGAGTCCTCAGAGAGCGACTCAAGTCACAGGAGGTCGGACTCAGACCAAGAAAACTGAAATGTTTTCCTCGGCGGCTTTAAGAAAAATCTTGGGTGGTGGGAGGTGAGGGGGAAGGTTAAAAACAAGTTCCACTACTGCCCTCCCTCCCCCCACCCTCAAGGCTTCTCTCTCCACAGAACAAATGTTCTCAGACACTGGTTCCTGTCATTTGAAAAGATGACACAAGATTAAAGTTTCTACAGGCACTGCAGACAGACCAAAACCTCAATCGATGCTCCTCGAAAAACCCCAGCCCTCAGAGAATAAACACCAGTGTCATCCCGAAACCGACACATGGCTGGAAAACAGAAATCAGAGGTGGTGATACGTACTAATTTGGGCTGGAAACCTCTGAACAGCAGAAGTAGTGAGCTGGCTGCAGGGAGATGCAGAAGTCAGTGAAATAACAAAGGCTCATGACGGCAGGGCTCACATCTGGAGCGTCCCCAGCTCAGGCCTGCATGCCGGCGAGGAGCAGCTGGGTCCGGGGAGAGGCCGGAGTCTCCAGGCAAGGAGCCTCCTGGGCGATGATCCCACCCTGAGCGCAAAGGGCTCTGGCGGAATTCTTGTCTTCCCCTGATATTTGGGTTTAAAAAGGCCCTTGTCCCTGCATCTCCTGATGAAAGACGGCCATTCAGAGGGAGCAAAACAGCTGAAGTTCCTCTAATCACTTTACTCCTACGGCTGTTTTGTGCAGGCCCCAGGAACAAGCAACAGGGTGTGTGTTCGAAGTGGAAAGGGAAAACAGCTGGCCGCCGAGGCACGAATGCCAAGCGACCAGGACCCCCTTATTGGTGGAATCGACATATTGAAGGATTTCTATTTCTTTCAGCTAGCCATCCATTCACCCCATGGTGACCGTGGGCAGCTGTCACAGTTACTCAGCATTTTCAAAGCCTTTTTACATTCTAAAAATTCTTTAGTCCTGCTAATCGCTATCTGAGAAGGCAATTCTGGAGGGGGGACTCCAGGTAGAGGGACCAGCATGTGCCCATGGGGCCGGGGGAGGGGGGGACCCCTTTGAGAAGCTACCTTGACAGGGGCAGGGGAGGCAAAGCAACCTCAACATCCACCTGGCAGGAGCAGCTGAGAGCTATGTTTTCATTCCTCTCAAAAGATGAAATAAACTAGGCCTCCTCGGTGGCACAGGGGTTAAAGGCAGCACTATCAAGCTATGGCCAGCCACTGCAACACGAGTTTGATCCCTGGCCAGGGAGCTGACCCACATGGCACAGCAGACCTCTCCTGCCTCGCCTGCTGCTCCCCTCAGCAGTGTATTTCAGTGGATCTGCCTGTTCTGCTCCCCACTCTGTCTCTATTGAACCCTCTCACCCCCTCACCTCTGGCCTGTACCCCAGTTCTCGTATGCATAAATAAATAAATCTTTAAAAAAAAAAAAGATGAAATAAACTAAAGCTAGGAACAACCATAAGGCAGGGCAGGATGGGAGAGTATCCTACAACAGGAACAGAGAAGAGAGACAGCACCTAAGCAGTGGGTTCTGGAACATTTGGTGAGGGAGGCGTCGCCTGGAAGGTTTCCCCAGTTCCCAGAGGATCGCTGCATCCTCACAAAAGGATTAAGTGAGACACATACTGCCACTGTTCTTATTTTGCAGTTGAGGAAACCCCAGCTTGCCCGGGAGCACACACCTCAACAAGATGGGACTAGCCCCAAATCTCTACCCCACACCCACCTTCCTAACTCCAGCAATGCCCGTAGTTTCTGCTGGTCCAGAGTGAAAGTCAGAGCTGGGGTCCCGCATCACCTCCACCCATGCCTGCACCGAGGGCCACCTGCAGCATGCGGCTTGGTTCCAGGAAAGCACACATGGCCGGGAAGTCAGGGCTGGGATGAGGCGTCAGTCTTGCTGCCCAACATCGTGTGTAGGGAAGAGAGAAAAGGTTCAATTCTGGGAAACAGAACCTCAGGGAGAGAAGCGGAGTTCTTCCGCCATCCCCCTCCACTGTCAGCCTCACCGTTAGGACACAGGACACACGGTCAGGACTTCACGGGAATCCAGCGGTGCCGGGGCGGCCAGCCAGGCTGGTGGAGAAGCTGCTTCTCATCAACGGTCTCTCATCTGCTGAGCACCTGCCACGTGGCAGAGACTGTACCAGCCACTTAGCTATGCCAGGGCGTCTAATTCCCACAGCACTGCAGGGTAGTCATTATTCCCTCCGTGTGACTCAAGAAGGAAACCAGCCGAGTTTCTGAAATCATCTCCAGGGACAGCCTGGGCAGCCACGTTTTCAACACACTGCCTTAGGGATTCTAGTGCAGTGTGAACTTCCAGAAAATATATGCACTGGTGTGGGGATCACACTTTTGGGATCTAACTTATGTTCTACTATATGAAAGTTCTGCTATTCATTTGCAGGGCTCTGCTCATCCAAAATAATCAAGTACTCGCAGACCATGGAGAATAATGCCAAGCCATGCCACCCAAGCTTCAGCAGGCAGACACCATAGAGACTCTGCTCACAGATGGACATGGTTTGGGTGGTTTAGGTGAGGGTCATGCCACTTAGAAACATAACTCCTTGAAGACTGGAAATACAGCGGTAGAAAATATGATGTTAATGTCCCTGATTTCCAATTTTGGCTGGCCATCTAAAGAAACGATGAACCTTCTAGGACATATCCATGCCCGGGTCTAACCTCAGTTGATTCTAATTCAGAAGGTCAATATGGGTCCTGGGGAATCTGCTTTTTGGAATGTTCCAGAGGTGTTTCTGATGCAGAGCCAAGGTTAAGTTCAGGGGTTTCCTGGATTTAACCATAATAAAAGACACAAAGAAAACCCATCTCAAAAAAATGCCTTACATGCAGTAGGCACACAATGAAAGTATTTTAATCGTATCATTTTTCAATTGCGGTAACGTTGGTTTGTAACACCGTATATGACTTAGGGGTTCTCACCTCTTCAGATGTATGTCACCACTCCATGCCCACCATCAAAACACCAGAGATCCTCCAGAATAGCCCACTGGGCCCCCTGCCCGCTTTGCTCCCGCCTTTCAACCTCCCCTTCTGATAGCCTCAATTCTTCAGTCAGATTTCTAGGATTTGTTTTGGTTTAGCTTTGCCTTTTCCTTTGTTTTGTTTCTTCATATACCACACGAGTGAAATCATGCGGTATTTGTCATTCTTCCGGCTTACTTTGCTTAGCATAATCCCTTCCAGTTCCACCCACGTTGTCACAAATACCAAGATTTCATCTATTTTTTTTAATAAGTGAGTAATATTCCATTTTGTACATATACCACATCTTTTTATCCACTTGTCCGTTGCTGGGCACTTAGGTTTCTTCCAGAGTGTCCACTGTAAATATTAGCATTGTAATGAACACAGGAGTGCATTTATTTTCCAGTTATCTTCCTGCATTCTTGGGACAGACACTGAGGAGTAGAACTGCTGGACCATGTGGTAGATCTATTTTTAATATTTTGAGAAACTCCATACTATTTTCCATAGGGAGTGGGCCAGTCCACAGCCCCACCAACTGAGCATGAGGTGCTTTTCTCCTCACCCTCCACAACACTTGTATCAGAAAATGTTTTCTGCCGGTAAAAGATAACACCAATAAAAATGTGAGGCCCCCCACAGGAGAGTAACACAATGAGGGGCAATGAAGGGAGAGCACGCTAGGTCAGAAAACAATGTAATACTCTCCTCAGAAGCGGCAAGACAGGTTAGCGGAAAACTGCAGGTGCACATCTTCTGCCAAACACCTGCAGAGTCACAGGTGTTCCTGCCTGTTAGGCAGCCCTGGGTTACAATGACACAGCATGACAATAATGACGAGGACAGGGCAGACCTCTGATACTCTGCTGTTGACAAGGCATTCCAGCTCCTGCCAACTCATTTATCTTCACAAAACCCTTCAAGCTAGAACTGAGCAGTCACTATGACGCTCACTTTATAGAGGAGGAAACAGGAAGTCAGGTAAGTGTCTGGTTTAGGATTGCCATGCAGCATCACGCAAAAATTCAGACACTCTGAGCTAAAGTATAGAATCTGAAAAGGGTCCCAAGTCGACTGGACTGGTTGAAATGAATAGACCTACATTTATTTTTAATTTTTCAAATAGACCTACTTTTACATGGTTAGAATTAACCCTGGATTGCACTCGGCTCTGCAGGGTGATTACTGAGGGGGCAGTAGTTCGCCCAATGGACTTGTTAATTCTAGAAAAGGGAGAGTGAATGTAAAGTTGTTACCACTGAAAATGTGGGGGCCAAAGAGCTGTCCCAAGAGGTTTCGTTAATCCCATTTAGATGAATGGATATTTGCTGGGACCCTACTGTGCACAGTCAGTGCTAAGACTGCAGACTTCAAATGAGACAGACAGGGTTCCTGCGGGCCCTGGAGTGACATTACAGTCTAGTGGTTGGACAGACACAGGACAGTTAACTGCAACATAGTGCAATGGGGTTCCCAGCAGAGGGGTGACTAGGGAGCTGCAGATGCACCCCTCCACACATGCACACACATAGGAGGGACACCTAGCCCAGAGAGATTCGCAGGAAGAAACCTCAAAGGATCATCAAATAAAGAGGGGACAAGGGGGCAGGGAGATTGCGTGACATGCACCCTACAGAGAACAGGATTTAGCTTCTGTTTTAAAGGGCTCCACTGTGAATTCACAACATTCTCGTTTATAAATCAGTTCCCCACAAGTCTGATTAGCAGAAACTGGTTCTCAGAAAGTGATCACCCCTGAGTGAAGAGAGATTCAGGTCTCAGAACGTGCAAAGCTAAGGAGGAGCCTTGGGCTCCTTCCTGGCTGAGCCATCAAGTGTCAGCACAAGCTTTCAGCACCTGAATGCCCAGTACACAGCAGGCGCTCAGTGTGGGGTCTTTTAAATAATTAAATGACACCTTTCGTTTGAATGGTGCTTTATTGAGCGCTGGCCCCTACATTTTTTCCACTTACTTCTTAACAATTTCATTCTGATGAAAGAAGACAGAGAAAATAAGTGGACTGTCTGTGGTTATAGGACCAAGAAGGGGCAGAACTGGATTGAGAGGCTTCAACTTTGCACTCAGTCTGCAGAATGCTCCCATCAGAAGGTGGGATGGTCTGACCCGTGGCAATAGCATTAGCAGGTGAAGCCGGACGGACACAGATCTACTTCCCAACCACCACTGGCGATGTCAGATGGACTCAGAATCCCACGCCTGGTAAAGTGAGGTTTACAGAGACGTAAAGGAGACTGAAGATTTAGTATCCGAAGTAAGCAAAGAAGACTGAAGGTGCAGACAGAAAATTCTTCCAATTTTTCTCCCAAAGGTTGATCCATCATTTTGAACTTACTGGGCCAGAAGTCACAGGGCCCCTGAGTTACACCAAAGTCTTGCCTTTTTTTTTTTTTTTTTTTTTTTTTTTAAATTTTGTGCTTCATGGTGTAATTGGGCAGGGTCTTGCTCCAAATAGCATTCTTCAGAACATAAGAAAACAAGGAACTCATCTGGCACACCTATCAGCTAAAGCTCCAGACTGTTCCTTGACACTGTGAATGGGGCAATTTCCAAATCTGCAGAGCACTAAACTTGGGGAGAGGGTGATAGGCAAGAAATGTTGGTGGAGCTCACTACAAATGTCTTTGCTGCTCGGGCAATGTATTGTTTGGCTAGAAAGCGTAGGCTTCTCTCAGAGAGAAGGAATGTCCAAAAGGATTTCAGACAGTAAGAAACATTCTCTAAAGCCAGTTACACAGCTCTCCTCCATACCAATGGGTAAGACAAAGCAGCTGAATATACCAGTAAACTCGCAAAAGCAGGATATTGCCCTCACATAAATAAGACAGAAATGACACGCCTTGAATCGCCTGAACAGCCCTTAGGATAGTTCCTTGATGGCCTTCAAGAGCCCTCAGGCCGGTTCTGTGAAAGTTGAGCTAGTGCTCCTTCCTCTGTACATCTGGTCTACCAGGATCTAAGCCCCCTGAGTAAGGGCAGAGGCATAAAGGCTGCATTGTGCGGGAAATGCAGTGGCAGCAAAGACAACCCACCCAGCCAGAAATAACAGGCACATGAAGGAAATGTTCTTGAAACAACTCAAAAATTCCAAGAACAAATTGTCTCAATCACCCCAGGTCCTTAGTTCTTTCTTTGGTTTATAGTCCCATCCCATATTTTTTACCTGCCAAGTCCTAACCTTTCCAGGGGCCCCTTCCTTCCCGGTTCTGCAGTGTGCGCTCCAGTTCTGAGCCTCCCCACCCCTGCATGCCATGCTGGATACCCAGCGCCCGGCAGGGCAGTACTGTCCAAGAGAACGGACAGGTTCTCCACCTACACAGTCCAACGGTAGCCAACAAACCATGCCTACTGGACGCTTCAGATGGGGCTAAGCGTGACTGATAAATTTCTCATTTAAATTATATCTGGGGCCTCCCCAGGTGGCGCAGGCAGTTGAGTGCTGCACTGTAAGCTGTCCGCAGCCTCTGCAGTGCCAGTTCCATCCCGGCCGACCAGAGAGGGTCCCACATGGCGAGCAGACCTCTCCTGCCTTGCCCGCTGCTCACCTCACCAGTGTATTTCGTCAGTCTGCCTGTTCTGTTCCCCACTCTGTCTCTGGTGAATCCTCTCACCCCCCACATCTCTGGCCTGTACCCCGGTTCTTATATAAAATTAATAAATAAATCTTTAAAAAAAATAAATTACATCTGAATTATCCACACATGGCTAAGAGCTAGGGCCAAGGACAACACAGGGAGGAGCTTTCAGCCTAAGGAGAGTCAGGGCTGGGCCTCTGGTCTTATGCCTACTCTGCACAGGTGGTGCCCCCCATGCTCACCACACCCCTCCCCAGCCCAGGACTTTCAGTGATGTGACACTCACTATAGAGTCCAAGCTTGTTACACCAGCTTTCCTGCTGGCCACTGTTAGCCATTCTATGTCGCTATGCTAATTTCAGGACACGCCTGGCCTCAAGGAGCATATAATACCACCAGAACAATGCTTTATAATAAAAGCCTTTCTTGTTACAGCTCACACTACTTCTCCCTTCTCCACACCACATGTCCTCGCCACACTGTCCCCACCTCTGTCACTGTCCTCATCAATGCTTCTACTCTGCTCTCAAGCCACAGCCTCTCCCTCTCTGTATCCCCACTTCATGCCTGCATTACAGGGTCCAGGCCTTCTCCAGGAGTCCTTTCCTCAGCTCCCCAGCTGCAAGCCACAGCGCTTCCCTGCCAATGTTTTTCCCATCTCCTCTCGTTTTGTAGGTGTGGAAACTGAGGCTTCAAGGATGTCATAGGAACGGAAGCCCCCCACTTCTCCGATCACATTCCTGGAATTATTTACCTACAAACTTGTGGCAAAATCATCACCACACCAGTAAATTTTCACTTCACAATGGGACTCAAGGGCCAGATCACAAAATTTTTGAAATCTCCTCCTTTTTGTGACACGTAGCAGAATTTTCAGGAAACACTCATGAGTAAACTGAGCCGGCCGGCGGCCTTGCTCTCCACCTCTGCGCATTTCATGACTAACCTACTTGGGTAATCTCTGAGCAGCTGGGAAGGGGTGCTCCCCACACACATAATGCAGCGGACAGGTAAGACTCCCCACATAAATGCTCTAGGTCTGGTGTCAGTCACATGGCAGCTGGGTCCTCCTGGCAACCAAGTGCTTCAAACAACACGACCATGCTCTCCATGTCACCCTGGGCATGGAGAGAGCTGGTCATAGCAGCTTCTCCAAGTCAGAGTCCCTCCCAGTGGGAACACAGTGTCCACAATGCTAATAACAAACATCTTTGTTGACACCGTGCTAAGATACATATGAATTAACCTAATTCTCAGCATCCACCTGTATTTCATATATGGGGAAACTGAGGCTCAGAGAGGTTACATCTCTTGCCCAAGGTCACACGCCATGAAATGGAGAAGCCAGGAGAGGAATCCAGGCGTCTGACTGAGGCTTGCATCTCTGCAGAACTGACTCAGGAAAACAAGCCAAGAAAATCTACTTCTCCCAACAATTCAGACTAAAACACAGGGTGGGCAGAGCAATGCCGGCATTGTCGCTGGGGCAGGGGTGTGGTTCTCCAAACTGGGGCGTCTGTGTGAATAGGGCATCCATGTGGGGGAGAGGTGGCTTCAGGGATTGGGGGTTAATTACAGACAGGGGACCAATCAAAGAAGTAAAATTAGGTGGGCAACTGGGAGCCAAGCTCCTCACTGTCAGAGAAGGAGTTACCAGTTGGGAGAGAAAAGGAGAATGAACCCTGAGCGTTTGGACGAGAATTGAAGGTATGAATCTGAGCTCTTGGTTTTCAACATATTTAAATTGAGAAATGAATACAGATGCGTGTGTGTGCGTGTGCGTATGCACACACATCCACATGCGCCCCAGTTGGGCCCCCCCCCCCCGAGAGGGCCCGTGGGGAGCAACACAATAGTGACAGCAGCACACAGCAGCACAACTACCTCAGTTTCTAAGTCCCATTCTCCACTAAAGGAGCCAGGGCTCCTCGGAGAAATGATTGATTCCAGAGACGGACATGGAAAGTGCACGATGAGGCTGGAACATCTGGTTCTAGAAAGCAAGGCTGTGCTTTCAGGGTGATGCAGACATGCCAAGGGGCACGGAAGCCAGACGTATGGGATCCCACTGGCCAAATGGGGGACAACACAAACTCCAAATTCAAACATACTACCGGCAAAGTATGAGCCACTGAATAACAGGCAAACATGAGTC